TCGACATCGGCCAATACCCTATCCGTGCAGCCCGTAAACCATTTGGGCCAGAGTTTGCCCAATCTGAACCTGCAACACAACCAAACGTAAGTCGCCACAGACAATGATAAGCTTCCTGCTTACTAGAAGCACACGAGCAAGCAATATCGCATACATAAGTATTCACTACTCATCTTCAAATTAGCATTTTCCAGTCATTTGTATAAGTCCTTAAGACCGTCCGTATACGTCGTTAATGTTATTATACACTTACTTTACACAATCAAGAGAAAAGAAACGAGCATATTTATATATACGTACATATATAGTTTGGCTAATTTATGATATATACTCTTTTTTTTTATTTGTAATGCAAAACAATTTTAAAATAAATATATTTATATATTTTTTTATTATACATACACATATACATATAATATATACTACTGAAAAGCCAAGAATCATCTACAACGCTTTCAGAATGCGCTCTGCTTAAATTCACCTCAAATACTCACCACAAATGCTAATCTGCCTGCAATTCCACCATACGTAACGCCGTGCCGAACATCTGTCTCTTTTTGTTTTCAATTTATGCTCTGCGTTTTATTCTCTTAGGACACGCGTACACAAAGAGCATGCTGAGCTGTGAGCTGAACTGAGTTAAGTTGTACTAAACGAATGTGCTACAAATGTACCTAAATTGGTACATTTGTTGTGCATGGGTAGTTTAGACCTCTTATTGTACCAAAATAGTACATTATTTGCTCTTGTTATTATTTGCTTGGGTTTTTAATACAATTATAATGTATTTGTATGTGTATATCAAATGGTACATTTTCGTGTAGTTTTTGATAGAAACGATCTCAGTTCTCAACTCGGCCCATCGCTTCTCTGTGTGCACGCGCGCTGTAATCTTTTGATCCACTGAAAATGTAGCTGCAAACGGTTAACTTTTGGTTTAGTACGATTCTTGCTTCAGTTTGATTTGTAGTCCGACGAGCTGACGGTCTGATCGGTTTTAAAGTAAACTTTAACATACTTATAGTAACAATACATTGCTTGTGCCGGGCACAACTACTAGTCACTCGGGTATTTTATTGTTGTCGCCCAGTCATCGCGGCATTTCCTATCCACCGCCGAGTCCAACTAGGTGAGTCCGTAATAAGATTGGGAGCAATTGAATTATTAGCATCATTCACATATAATTTATTATATCTCTTGTCATTTTTCTGTAACATTGCATTTCGCGAATACCCCCCGCCATATGTCTCGCCTCACAAACATATGTAACGAATGGTCCACCACATTGAATCCTTATGCCATTCCACCTAAAAAAAAATTGCGTACTATGTTCGTGTGTCTCTAGAGTGCCGCTTAAGCGCGGCATGGCATTCTCCACGTCCACGAAGAACCCACCCCTGCTGAAGACGCGCAATATTACTTCTCAGAACAGTATTAATTGGCATCAGATACCCGCAACGCCCACGCCGCCCAGTCCGCGATCGCAGCACAGCTCGCCCAGCAATCCAAACCAGGCCTGCAATGTTGGTCTGCCGGGCGCCACAGATCCAAGGATGCTGCAGAAACAGATATCCCATCAGATGCCCTTGCAGACGGCCAAGCAGAGCAATTTGGACCTCCAGCGACATTTAAGCAATGAAACCGACGTTTAAAGCAGCCATTTGGCCAGCAACAACAACAATAAATAGGAGATTAGGTAACACATTAGATATAAACAAAAAAGAGAATAATAATAACAAAACACATTGGCTTCTCCTTGACAAGGTCACCAATAGAGTTGGTCAATGTAGTTGCTAATACTGCACCTTTTGGGTCCAAATACAAGATACAAATATAATAAACATTCCGACTAAGTGCTACCCATTCCCATTGTCTATCCATATACAAGTCTACTAATGCATATAAACATATTAAACTGTTATACGAATACATTCAGAAGTACTCTTCCAAAAAAAAAAAAAAACAAAAAAAAAATATATACATAGAAGACAATTTTTAATTAAAATTTAAATACACACATATTTATAAATATGTTTGTAAACATATTTATAAGATTCTACAAAACTTTGAAAAACATCTGAGAAATGATATATGATGGTAAACAATAAATATACTAACCATAATATATAGAATGTACATGTGTGTAAAACAAATGTGTGTTAAGCATGAATTATTTAAATATCATTTTTTAACATTTGTCTTGCTGTCCAACTGTCTGATAAACCTTATTTTTATTTTGAGGTCCCAATCCGGTTAGATTTTAGTGTATAAAAAATCACTAAAATCCATATTTCCACAGGATTTTTAAGCTAAATACAATAAAATTGCCAGTTTGACTAAAGATAAGCTCCTTAGAAGATCGAGCATAAAGCATTCTTACTTCTTTTAAGTTTCCCTCCCGCTCAAGTAAGTCGCAAGCTACCCCATATCACAGTTTGACAGTCACTGACTTGGCCTTACAGTTTAAGAGTCATAATAGAAAAGGCCCGTTTGAGTTGTTTGTTGTCTTTGTGATTAAAGAAGAATACTTATATTTTCATATATTTATAATTTCATTGATCAGATCATTTCTATGCAAATAGATTTCCTATTTTAGCCAAATATAAAATATTTTTTAATAGTTGTAGGTATGGGTCTTGGTGTCTAAACTTTTACTTTCTTTTTAATTGTTTGCATATTTTAAAAAGAAAACCCAAACACAAATCACATTTATTTGTGTCTTCCTTTTTAATTGTTTGTACATCTTATAAAACAGCCATATTTTTTTTAATTAACATAAAAAATCAGTTAATTATGTGTTTATTAAGAACGCACAAGTAAACCGCATATCTTCATGGAATTTATGTAGATGTGGTTCGTCAAAGGCGAGGCAGAACGTACTTAGTAGAGATCGCGCTCAAAATGTGACAGCAACAGAAATATATATATTAGCTATAGTTTATAGCAATTATCACATATATATATATATACATTTAAGTTAGAGTTATAAACTATCAACTATTAGACAAGATATTCAACAGTGTGGCCGGCAAATGATTAGTTTATATTATGCCATACTTTATTCCTTATCAACATATGTATTTGGCCCAATAATTTGCTCGACATTCATGTGCATGCTTAGAACGACCTTCGATAAGTTTCAATATCTTTTGGACACACAAAAATATGTGATAACTTACATAAAATGGCTACGAACAAGTCTATTTAACTTCAAAACAAAATGTACAAAATAACAAACTTCATTAAGGTTTTAACAAACACACACACACACACACACACAGTCTAGTTTTTGATAATGAGTATGATAAAAATGTTCTTCTTTGTGTTAAACTAGATAATTGCTTGCAATAGAATTTGTAGTGCCTAAGGAATGATAAACGCTCTTCCTGCCATTCAACTGATTCCACACTTTGGAATAATATCGGGCATAAATATCTAGATTGATTGTTGATTATTGCAGTTTATGTAATTTTAGATTATATTTATGCTTGCTGTGTAGCTTAACTTCGAGTGGATTCGCATTGAGAATACCTTTAATGAGAACATGCTAAAGTTAACCACATCGATTTAATATAATTATTTATATATACCATATATATGCATATGAAAGAGAGGCGTGTCCGAAGCTCTGAATCACAAAAAGTCTTAAAAAGGAGATTGTACTTATTTCAAGTGTACAAAAAAAAAAGATTATTAACAAATACCCTTACTTGTATAAATATTGCATACATATACCTACATATATATAGCATATACCCGATAAATAAAAAAAAACATAAAAAGGGCTACACCTGAAATCGTAGAATATTATTTAATGAAGCATTAAATTGTATTTTAGAAGAAAGCGTATTTTAAATACATATTTTAAATATATATACACATATACATATACTGTTTAAACAAATAGCTACTCCCACAGTATTATTTAGTGTGCAATTGAAAATGTATTTTTAATATATATTTCTAATATCAACTCTATGGCTCTGATAAATATATATATATATTATAGCTGGGAGTTTGCACTCAAAAGGCTATCTACATGCATATGTTTACATATTAAGTAGTATTTTAACCTATATATACCCTCTCACTTTCTTTCTTTTTTTTTTTTGGTTTATATTCAAGCACTTATATTGCATATAAAACTATAAATTCTTGTTCTTAAATGGAACTCAAGCTTGAATGTTTTTGCAAGCAGCCTCCAAACGCAATCTACCTTTATATTAACAGACGAACACATCTATATATATATATATATACATATATATATGCATATGTATTCATAATAAATACAATAACTAATCATAGTAAAGAGCGTAATACAAAATAGCTTTATTTACACCGGTAAATTAGTTCTATTTACATACATATGTATAAAATGTTAAAGAATTTATGAATTAAAAAAAGTAAAAACGAAAATGTTTTATTTAAGCTGAGTTTTGACTCAATTAAATTAAGATTTTGTGCTGTTCACAAAGTAAAAGCGAGTATATTGGATTTGTCCAACGTTTGGCTTATCGAGATAGGTTAATAATTGCGTAGTTCACAGTTTGACAGTCACTGCTTTGTAATTACAGTCTAAAAGTCACAAGCCTATTAAGAAAGTGACATACTCTGTTAATAGTGTATCGAACTTGCGTTCACTCAACTTTCTATTCTTCTTATTTCAAGATGCGAAATGCTTGACTTTAGGATAATAAATAAAGACCAGCTAGGCCAGCAGGAGCTGCTTTCTAAGCCACCGAGGACATCATTTATCAAGCCGCATAATGCTTTGTCCGGACTGGCAGAGTGTTCGCCTTTCCACTCTCGGCCGGGCAGCAGCTGCCGCAGAGTCCTTTAATGGTTTAATAAACTAAGCTGTCCATCTGGATTACACTCTAATATGCGTGCAGCAAGCGTATTAGATTCGCAATTATAATAATTAATATGCTGACAAAATTTAAAATTCATGCTGGATTTGAGCCGGCGACCAACCGAAGCTACACAGGTAAAATACTTTTGATCTAAAGTTCTTTGACTCTTTACGTACCTTCATACTTGTTTAGAACAATGTTAATATCCAAGTGTGTCGTATTAAGAAATTTACGTTGGATATCTTATCATCCATTGTAAAGCAATTGTCAGTTCATTGATAAGGATCTTGACTTGGATACGATTATATCTATTTATTTAATTGTGCTGGTTGTCTTGATGCGAGTCGCCGCCATCATACGTCAGTATAGAAAGCGACACGGGATGAGTGCATCATACAGATTGTTCGGCTTGAGTCTTGCATTTGCTCTGCTCGCCTTCTGGCTGGGCGGAATTGGGTCCGCGCAGAGCTTGGTAAATGAATCTGCCGGACCCCTGCCGGCAGCCGGATCCGCCACATTTTGGCAGCGTCTAAAAGCAAGCGTGTTGGACTTTCAGTGGCAGCAGGCGAAGCCAGATGTGGAGAGTGCCGCAACAGTTCAGAGGCGACGCGAAATGTGGCAGCGGCTGACCGTGGCAACTGTTTTGTAAGGAATGCCGTAGACTACACGGTACTAATTAAAGGAAACAAATAAAAGAGGATCGCATTTATTCACTGAACCGTGTGGTGGGCGGGCCTTAGAATACCCCCACAGCATGTCATCGCTTGTCGTAAGAGGCGACTAAGAGAGACGCGTGGGTTGTCTTGTCCCGGGCTTGTGTCCAAAACAAAGTTCTGGTCGTGCAGGGCAGCTGATGGATGCCCTAAATCTGTTGTGTGCGTGTTGGCAAACCCCAATGGGATGCATTTATTTATTGATTTTGAAAACACTTGACGTTCTTAGCCTGGTCACAATAGCCGGCCTTCTGGTCCCAGTATAGACCCTTGGGACAGGTGGTCAGCACCGGCATGCCCGCTATGCAAATGTAGTACTTGCCACAGTCATCGGGATGCGGCAGATAGCTCTGGCGCTCCGATGGACACTTCAGGGCACTGTGTGGTGCGCTTGGTGGTGCGCTCGGTGGCGTTGGGGCAGACGCGCTTGTGGTCGACTCGCGGTCACTGGACAGGCTGGGCAAGGTGCTGCTGGTGTTCACGATGTAGCAGATGGTTACTTGGCCAGATGTGGTACTCGACTCTTTGGGCACATCCACCAGAGGTTCCTGTTTGTAGTTATAGCACTCGGCGTTCGCGCTTAACTGACATTCGGAGCTCCTGTAATTCCAGAGGGTGCCGCGACCACACTGATGACGATGCAGATGGCCGTAGGCGCAGATAAAGTACAGCTGGCAATTGCTGGGATGAGGCAGAAAGTATGCACCAAAGTGACGGCATTCGACGTACTCCGGATCGTACTTCTCCATGGGGTTCACGGCCTGGCCAGTTTCCACATCGACGGCCACAAACACCGGCTGCGGCTTGCCCATCCACCAGTTGTAATCGGCATATGGCTTGGCTCCAATGGCAGGGTCCAAGATGCCGCCTGGCGCCGTGGTCGTCACAGCGGATATGCCATCCAACGCAGTGCACTTGGCCTTCTCGGGCACATCACACACCAATTCAGCTGCATCAAAATGGAGTCCCTCCTCGCAGTATTGGAGCGTGGCCAACGAGCCGCAGGCGAAGTACGCATTACAATCCAGCGGATGCGGTACCAGGTGACCATCCGTGCGACCCTCGCAAATCTACAAGCAAAACGTTGAGCGGGCGAGCTCCTTGACAGCTTGGAAGTCTACTTACATGGCTCAGATCGGCGATCTCTATATGAATCGGCTGCTCCGCAGCTTGGGCCACCCCGAAACAGACGCCCACAAGCAATGCAAAATGCATACGAATTTCCATGCGATCCTCTTTGTAATAGTTGCTAACAATTCCACACGCTGCGATAAAATATTTGATAATTGCCCCAACTACGACTCTTATATAAGGCCAATCCCCACACCCAGCACCCGCTGGGTGCAGCCATTTAAAGAATATTATGCGTACACTAATTGAAACATGAAAACATATTTTTTGGGCACTTGTCGCGCCTCACACTTTATACATATTTGATAAAAATACACACGAAGAAGAATAAGAATCGAGAAGATCACAAATTTCAGAGCAATGAGTCATACGAATGCAAAGAAAGTGTGGCATACTTTGAGGTGGCAGCTAGGAGTTCGAACCATAGTTTAGATGATGCTCAGAAATTTGGCAATGGGTGGATTGATTAAAACTAGAGATGGAATCGTGAATTGAGAATTGGGAATTTCGCGTAATTCGCAAAGAACTAAGGGAATTAAAATATTTTGTAGAGAGTTTTATTATTTTTTCATGAAATGTGTAACATATAGAAGAAGACATCTCCGAACCCATAAATCATATATATTCTGTATCAGCATCAACAGCCGGGTTGAAATAGCCATTTCTATGCAAGAGAGTCTCTCAGTTTTAAAACGATCGTCTTGAAGATTTTCATAGTTCCGACTTTCTGTAACAGAGGGTACATATATAGAATCCAGCTGGATTTTTCCACTAAGTCATATAGCTACCATTGGAACGATAGGTTCCATTAATACAAACTTTTTCGTTTATCAAGATATTTTTGGACCAAACTGAGCATTTTTTTAGTTTCATTATATGCAAAATCCTACCAACATCAGAGCACTATATCATATAACTGCTATAAGTCGAAAAGTAGATACTTACATATATGGACAACTTTTTTGTTTGTCGATATATTTTGATCAAAGCTAGCATAAGCTATACTGTTTTTTAGATAAGTCAATTCTTTTCGAAATCACACTATCATATTAAGGAAGAATCCGTTGAAAAATGACTTTTTGCATTTTATATTTCCCGAGATTTTTTCACCAAAATCAGTATTTACAATCTTCGTCTCCTTACATATCTGCAAAGCCGTAACCCTAATGTCTATCCGAACTCTCATTAGTAAACAAAAAAGTTTAGTATTCGTTTTGTCGAATGTCGGACGAGTATAACAAATGCCTGTTGTGGAGCAGCCGGGACTTTATCAATATAAATAAAAACTAACGTGAAAATAATATAAATGACTCGAATTACGCACGTGAATAAACATAGAAATCAATTGGTCATAAGGGTTGAAGTTCTTGATGTCGTCTGTAAAGTATTTTTAAACAATTCGCAAATGGAGCTATCTAGGGAAATGGACGGTATTTCCTAATTTATTAATTGTCAAATTGATAAAATATGTATTCAATTAAAACAGATAGCGACATTTTCAGCTCTGTGTTAATGCCCCAAAATTTATTTGCCCCCTGTCAGCCTTACCTTTTGGGAAGTTCTATTTAATAGGCAAGTCGCGTTCCAGCCAGTTAGTCGTTGTCAATGTCCCGGAGGGTCGCTCTGCAGTTCCAGTTCCTGTTCGTTTTCATAAACATGAGTACGTACATTTTTAAAATTTACATACGAAACAGCAAGAAAAAAAATAAATAAATAAAAATAATATGCATATAACTAAACTAAATTAATTGCTGCATATGAGCTTATGAACTTAAAGCGAAAGTTAAATAATTCAAGTGTGTGATCCTAGCAAAAACTCATTTCCGATGTGATATCATATCAAGATCATATCATTTTTGAATATAACAAAACCTTTACTAAAGTACATTTCATTTAAATTTTTTTTATGATATATTCTTGATATACTCCATATGTTTAAATAGGAGAACAATTCATTATGGGGATATCTTGTATACCCTTTATTCGGATATTAGCTCTTATATAGAGCAAATCGTTTCGACTTTATAGTGTTTATGTCTTTTGTAGATAGTTCGGTCTGGCACATACTTCTCGGGCTTGGCCTGATTCTGCCAACATGTTTGGCTTCCAGCTTTGATCCGGAACTCATTTGCACACTTGTCGTTGATGGGACTAAAATGAACGATCCTCGTGTCTGCAATGGCTGGATACAGTGCGTCGATGGCAAGCCCGTGAGCGGCACCTGCGACGATGGACTTTTCTATGACAGGCAAACTGAGGACTGCGTGCCATCTGCCGATACAAACTGCATCTCTAGTGATCCTTGCGCGGCACAGCCAAATGGTTTTGCCGCCGATCCGTACTCCTGCAATGGCTATTACTACTGTAAGCAGGGTGTGGGCACTCGCGGCGTGTGCAACAACGGACTCAACTATAATCCGGGCACCGAGTCATGCATACGGGATTTTCCGTGTACTGCCAAAATGAATCCGGACAGCTATTGCAACATTCTGCCCGACGGCGTCTTCGCCAAGGACACCCTCAATTGCAACGGCTGGCAAATGTGCTGGAAGGGCGAAGTCATCAATGGCACCTGCCCCGCCACCTTCTACTTCAGCGCCGCTAAGGGCGACTGTGACTATCCGCAGAATGTGGAGTGCGCGATCACGGAGCCACCGCCGTTGACAGCGGCGCCAGAGGCTTGCCCCAAAGCGGGCAGCTTCATCTCCGACGAGAGCAGCTGCAATGGCTACTATTATTGCCGTGAGAGTTCCGATGGCCAAATGCAGCTGCAGCACGGCGAATGCGACGACGGTCGCTTCTTTTCTGCCCGGGATGGTGGCGCCTGTGTGCCGCGATCCAAGCTCCAGTGCGATTACGATCGATGCGTGGACCTAGGCTACACGGGCATACAGCTGGCCAACGAGTCGAATGATGGCTGCACGGGCTTCGCCATATGCCAGGACGGTGTCAAAATTGGCGAGGGCACCTGTCCAAATGGCGAGTACTTCGATGAGCTGACCCAGCGCTGCACCAACCAGGTCATATCGTACCCAGCCTGCGCCCTATCTAGCCAATCCACAACACAAACCACAGCTGCTTGAGAGGCACGGGCCAGGGCATAAAGCTCAAGGCAGGGGCTGAGATCACCCAATCGATTTGATAAATTTACTCGTATATATACTCATTTATTTATTTGCTAACCATGGACTTTGATATTTATTATTTATATATATATGTATATATAAATAGAGTCTGATATGCCTTCATATTTGGGACTCACAAATTTTATATAAATTGTGCAACACAATTAAATTAATATTAATCAATACAATAAGTTATTAACACACAGTTTGAACAACCTTTGAGATAAAGAGCAAGTCTTTTACAGTTTGGAGCAGCGATTACTCCGATGTTAAGGCGTTTTATACTTGTTCCAAGTTGCAATTTGTTTTGTACAAACAGTTCATAGAAATGTTCATCTGATGAGCGGGGCAACAACATTCTAGACGCCTCTTAAAAACACATTTGTCCGTATCATAGCATATTTCGGCAGTTTGTTTTCAAGATAGCCGTGCTCCTCACCTTGCCATTTATCGCACAACAGCAACACTTACTACTAGTAAGTAGGTACAAGCACCTGATAATAATATATCAGTGCTCGTCAGTATTAATTACCACGCATAATGTGTGTTTTGTACATCGAATACGTATTCGAGTACCCGAGTTCTGCGGAATTTCACATTGATATTTGACAGTCCGATAACTGATTTCATATAATGTTTTTTTTTAATGCTTTTTGAATAGTCGGTTTTGTTCAAGTAAAATCTTGAAGGTATTAAATGAATTTTTTGATTTTGTATTGTGCGGGAATGTCTGCGTACTTCGAACCTTCCGAACGCAGCCTTTTTTCCACAATTGTCATCTATTTATATAGAATAGCATATTAAGTATAATCGCAGGGTAATCAGTTTTAAACAGAACAAAAACAATTTGCAATGCTTTCGACTAACACCAAATTTATGTCTGATTTAATTGGTTAAAATTAATTACAATTTGAAGACGCACTGCATCTCGTGCTGGGTTACTTTTTAAGCTTAGGCGGAGCAGGCGACGTAGTTGTGGTTGGTTGGAGTGCATCCCTGGCTGCGTTCATCGAAGTAGTAGTCGGTGGGGCAGTGGCCGATACTGACTCGGACACCGTTCGAGCAGCGGGCATAGGCCTGACAGTCGCCAAGCACATTGACATAGGTCAGGGCAAAGTCGGCGCAACGGTCTAAAGTGCAGCGGACATTGACACGATCACGACAGGATAGCTTCTCGACGTCAAAGTACGAGCCGAGCGGGCACTGCAGATGCTGGGGGTTCGTGTCGTGCTTGCCATTAGCTGGAGCCTTGCAGATATAGTAGTGGCTGCAGGACTCATCATCAGCAAAGTAGCCCTGACGCGCCGTTGTACCGTTGACCATGCAGAAGGTGTTCTCTGGCGGTGGCAGCGCCGCCGTAGCGTAGCAGGTGGCATTGGCTGCGGCGACGCAGCGGCCCAAGGACACGTCGTAAGCCATCTGGGCGTCACACTCGCGCTCATGGAGCACTTCGTCCCGGCAGACATAGTACTTGTGGCAATGCTCCTCGTTGGCCAGGCGCGTGTTGTTGGGCAAGGCACGGCAGACGGGCGAGGTTGTCTTCTTGCTGCTGGTCGGGCAACTATATTGGGTGGAATAGACGCAAGAACGTGATCGGGGATTGAAGACCAGCTCGTTGGGACAATCGGCCTTGACCTCGCGACGCCCCTTGCACAGTAGATAGCCGTGACAGTTATAGCTGCTGGGATCGGCCAGGAAAGTGCCATCCGTCTCATTGGCGCAGGCATTGACAGGTGCGCTTGTGCCGGAGTCAACAGCATTTGCATATGGGCAAACGACATTGGAGGCCATGGTACAGCGTCCCTGATCCTTGTTATAGTGAAGTCCAGCAGCACAGGTGCCCTCCTCTATGGTGGTGCCATTAATCGGACAGGTTACCCAGTTGTTGCAGGTGTTTGGGCGCAGGAAGCTCGTGTCCGATGGCAGCAGTTCGCACATCTCCACCGTTGTCAGATGATCAAAGTCGTCCAGTTTGCTAACGGCACTGGCCACACCCACCAGGGTAAGGGCAAGCATGGGCAGGACCACTCTAGCTGCAATAAACGTTGTTAGCATCGATGATGATCGGCAGCAATGCGATCAGTTACCTTGCATCATGCTGTCGATATTTATCGGTAGTTATCGGAGTTATCGGTGTCAGTTAACGGTATCCTTAAATTGTTACAATCGCTAGCGCCGCGTGCAGCTCCACAACTTGACTGATGCGCTGCCACCAGGCGGCGCCTTCTTAAATATGCAAAGCTTCATTCGCTTCATTTGTTTCATTCATTGCCTTTTGGGGAAAAAAACAATTTTGAAAATGCACAGGCCCAAGGAAGACAATGTCGTTGTCTCTGCTGCCTGTCTCTGATATCAGAAATCAACGTGAGCGATAACATTCGCATCTGATAGCGGGCCAGCATGTAAATTACACGGCAATAACATGTCGCATTGCTGGCTCGGTGGCTTCGTGTCTCCATGGTGAACATCTGCGTATGCCATCAACCCTTCTCTATCGATGCTGATAGGAAAATTTGTCATGTGGAGCCAAGTCGAGTCGTGGCCAGGCATTGACTTTGAATTCCATAAAAATAAAAAATAAAAAAGAACTCGATATTATCGCGACATCAAATTCATTGAGTGAGCGAATACAAATTTGAAAATCCATTTTTATTTGATCGATCCCGCCCATGGTAACAGCCAAGGGCTTAGAATTTTGATGACACCAACTTATTACACTCGGTACAGGTACAGGTGTCAGGTGAGGAGAAACGTGGGGATTCATCAAATTTTAATAAAGAGGGAAGCATACATTTTGAGCAGAATGCTAGATTAACTGATTTGATTTATTTATATGCGCTTTAATTTAGCAATATATTTAATTACGAACATACAATTTAAGGCAACAGTTAAAAACGGAAATTTCATCGGTTTCGTCAATAGTTTACTCTTATTTGGGCGCTACTTAATCAGTAGAAGTAGGTAGTGGTTCTGTACAAATAGCCTGTGTGGGTTGAGTCCCAACACATTTTCCGATTACCTCATCAAAATATTGAAAGTCTGTTGGGCAAGTGCCCACGGTATTAGCCGGGCAATATGTATACTTTCTACAATCTGACCCCGCAACAGCTGCGTATGTTAGATTCGTGTTTTGACAGCGATCAAATGCACAAACGGTGGCCGCGGGAGATATACATGCTTGAGCGTCTTCATCAAATTCCAATCCAAAGGGGCACGATCCCCAAACAGATTCTTCCGCGCCGTCAGCGCAGTATAGGTATCCGTAACAAGTCGCTCCATCTTTAGTAAAAGGTTTAGCATCTGTGCATGCAATATTTGTCACAGGTGGAGTACTTGTGGTTACACCGCCATTATTATTGCCTGTGCATGTATTAGTTTTTTGGCAAACATTGTTAACAGCGTTATAGTAAGGAAAACCTGTTGGGCAAGTTCCCGATACTCCGTAGCCATTGATGCACTGCAGATATTGATTACAATTGGTCGGATCACCGACGAAAATATTGTTCGGCATGAAGCGGCAGAGTGTATCCTGAGGGCATGTTGGACCCCAAACGCAGGAGTTATTATTGGCAGCATACATCTGACCAGTTGGGCAGGTTTGAGTCTCGGATTTACCATTGCCAAAGCAATACGTATATTTGGTACAGTCCGAAGGCTCTGCCACAAAGCCGGCAGTTTTCAGTGCCGAGCATGTCTCTTTTGCGCTGGTGGTGCACGGCGTGGTGGAAGCGTATTGGCAAGACTGCGACTGCGGTTCATAGACCTCGCCCTTGGTACAGGTACCTGTGGCCACAAGCTGCTGATTTTTGCAGTATCCCCAGCTGGTGCAATCGGTAGGATTGCCAACATATCCCGTGCCCGACCACTGAGCACACATGTCGTCCATAGTATAAGCTTCGGCCTGGGTGGCCAGCAAAAGGCAGGCGGCCGCAAAAGCGGCAAAAGCCTTTAAATGAGAAGCTGCAAGATATCAAAGTGTCAGTTTATTAAGAAATCCTTGATGGTATCCATTTCAATTCCAATTTCAATTTCAATATCACAGCCCTACCCGTCATTGCGTTCAGGTTGTTAGCGACTTATTAGCTAGCCTTGTATGCTATAGGAGCATACCAACTCAATACTAAGCCTACCAATTTCATGATATGCTTTATATAGAGGGTCTAGCCAGCGGCACCTAATACCCTATCGGTGCGTTTAATTAAAATTGTTCGCACATTTGCAGATAAGCTTACCCGCAACCAAAACACCTCAAAAGTTTCGTAATTAAACTGCGATAATGCTCTGATTCACCTAACATTTTCTTAATTTTTAATTTTTTTTTCTTTTTTTTTTGAAGTTTTTACCTACCTGTCCGATTAAACATATACATATACTATTTTCAAGTGCTTTTTGGATTATCAATTCATTGTGAACGCTCTTTATATGTGTAATTATTTTTAATTTAATGTCATTTTAATAATTGATCGCCCAGCTACTCGGCGTCTGCAGCTATCTGCGTAATTCTTCAAGTAATCGTATCGAGCATGTCAATAATGTTCCGTATCATAGACAGTATTTATGAACAACGCCATTTCCGGCGACTGGTGTTCTGCGGAATCGCACTTTGAAACTGGATTGTATCTTTCTGTTTTGGGAGGTTGAGCGCGGGTCTGTGGAACCACTCATAAAGCAGTCTCAACCAGATTGTATACTTTTAGGATAAAACTCCAAAATCACAAATGATTTTATTAAAACGAGTTATGAATTAAATAGCTTGAGCTCAAGAATCTCAAAAACTAACAAGCTTTAAGCAACCACAAAAAATTAGTCCTCATAATATGAGGTCTGAGGTCGACACGTTCATACAGACCGGAAACCCTGACTTAGCTAAACAGAAATATGGACGTAAACCTTATAGGTTGAAGACTTAACGAAACTAGTAATATCCCTTTTTTCAGTGATAGAATTAACCTATAACAAATTTTGCATTGCATATTTATTCCATCACATGTAAAAATATTGCATACTTTAACGAGCTTTCCTTTTACCCCATTTTTTCTGATTATAAATATCATCACATACCGCTTCAACTCTAAAAGAGTCATTTTATTGTTTAACTTTATATTTTGAAATTGATAGGACTTAACTTATATATAAGCAGCATAGTTAAATTTAAAGTTTTCGGGCTGGTCAATATATGTTGTGATAGAAACAATTTTTTCATATTTTCGACCGATCAGGCCTCTGGCAGTTATTGAGACAGTGGTCCGATAAAAATGTTAAGGAAAGATTATTAACATGAGTGTAAGCTAGCAAGAAGCGCCTGTAGTATAAAAATCGTTGTCCATTGCAGCTTGCTTTCAGTTGAGCCTGCGTCGCGGCAGGGTGCTGATGGTGTTTTTGGGGAAAAATATAAGAGCAGATCAATGTAAGCTCTCAAGAAGAAGAGCGAATAGTATAAATAGGGCGGCCCACTGCAGCTTGGTTTCAGTTGAGCCTGCGGCGCGGCACAGTGCAGGTGGTGAGCTAATGTGTTTGTGTGTGTGTGTTTTTTTTTTTTTAATAATCACCAAAGATTATTAGCATGAGTGTAAACTAGCAAGAAGAAGCGCCAGTAGTATAAAAATCGTTGTCCATTGCAGCTGGATTTCAGTGAAGATGGTGAGTTTGCTTAAGAGCATAAAAGTTGTAAGCTCTCAAGAACAGGAGCGAATAGTATAAATAGGGCGGCCCATTGCAGCTTGGTTTCAGTTGAGCCTGCGTCGCGGCACAGTGCAGGTGGTGTGCTAATGTGTTTGTGTGTGTGTGTGTTTTTTTTTTTATAATCAAACATTGTTAACATGAGTGTAAGCTAGCAAGAAGAAGCGCCAGTAGTATAAAAATCGCTGTCCATTGCAGCTAATCTTCAGTCGAAGCTGCAACGCGGCACAGAGCAGATGGTGTTTTTGGGGAAAGATATAAGAGCAGATCAATGTAAGCTCTCAAGAAGAAGAGCGAATAGTATAAATAGGGCTGCCCACTGCAGCTTGCTTTCAGTTGAGCCTGCGTCGCAGCATGGTGCTGATGGTGTTTTTGGGGAAAAATATAAGAGCAGATCAATGTAAGCTCTCAAGAAGAAGAGCGACTAGTATAAATAGGGCTGCCCACTGCAGCTTGCTTTCAGTTGAGCCTGCGTCGCGGCACAGTGCAGGTGGTGAGCTAATGTGTTTGTGTGTGTGTTTTTTTTTTTATAATCAAAGATTATTAACATGAGTGTAAGCTAGCAAGAAGAAGCGCCAGTATCATAAAAATCGCTGTCCATTGCAGCTTGCTTTCAGTTGAGCCTGCGTCGCGGCACGGTGCTGATGGTGTTTTTGGGGAAAAATATAAGAGCAGATCAATGTAAGCTCTCAAGAAGAAGAGCGACTAGTATAAATAGGGCTGCCCACTGCAGCTTGCTTTCAGTTGAGCCTGCGACGCGGCACAGTGCAGGTGGTGTGCTAATGTGTTTGCGTGTGTTTATTTTTTTTTATAATCAAAGATTGTTAACATGAGTGTAAGCTAGCCAGAAGAAGCGCCAGTAGTATAAAAATCGCTGTCCATTGCAGCTAATCTTCAGTCGAAGCTGCAACGCGGCACAGAGCAGATGGTGTTTTTGGGGAAAGATATAAGAGCAGATCAATGTAAGCTCTCAAGAAGAAGAGTCAATAGTATAAAGAGGGCTGTGCATTGCAGCTTGTGTGTATTTTCATATTTTTTTCAAATGCTCTTTTAATAAGATATATGGAAATAGGTTTTAAGTCGATCGGAATTTTACCTATCATAGATAGGCAAATATTTATGTGCTGTAGTGCAAGTTAGGGTATTTCCTAGTCGACCACTGCTTTTGGGTTTTTTAAATAATTTAACTAAGGCAGGGTTCGAAATGTGACATATGTATGTTGTTCACAAATTTACCATTAGCTCAATACAGTTAATGAACGCTGTTCGACAATCAGTTTATCAATTTGGCAGATTTACGAGGGCAGAATCATATGTCCATATGTATGTGTGTGTATGTAAAAGCTGTACAGACAGCTGGCTATTTATATGTATGTATGTACATAAATGCGAACATTATCTATGGTTAAAAAATGTTTAGGTATGTTGGAAACTTTTCAGCACTCTTTGTTTTAATTGAATGCGTTTGTTCTTGTTCGGATTTTAAATTTAACAAATTCTCTATTTTCGCCCGCCATAGTTTGCAATATCTGCATATTTTTAGCAAAACGCAGATAAGATTTGAGCCGCTCAGAACACATTTCCCCTAATTTGTTGCAGACTCAGGTATCAGTATCAGAAATATTCCACCCCAATTATAAATTCTCTTCGAGCACCAATCTGCAGTTAGTCATATACAGACAGTTTGAGCAGTCGCACCGTAGCCTTGTCGTTAATAAGTTGTTAGTAAGAGGAATTTACCAATCAAAATGCACGGTGGGTATAAAATAAAAGAAGACATTTTAAGTCGCAGGTGTTTCGCCTCAGTACACAGAGTTTGAATGAATTGTTTATACTACTGTTCATCTATAAGAAATAACTTTTCTTATTCATATTCAGCGTCATTGCGATTCGGTATCGGAGTAATCCTGCTAGCAATATGCCTGCCCCAGCCATTGCACGCGTTGCACGATTTCGCGGGTATGTGCCGCCTGTTCAAAAATGGCACCCACATCCGCAAGCCGGGCACCTGCGACGAGTACATTGAATGCATAAATGACACTGGAGTAATACACACCTGTGCCGATTCCCTGGTCTTTGAGCCAAGTTCACAAAAGTGCGTGCAGGCAACGGCGAGCAACAGCGTTTACTGTGGCAATCCTTGCGAGGGATTGGATGGAAAATGGGTAGCAGATCCAACAGACTGCCAAAATTACTTCTACTGCAGGAACGGCGAAGCCCTGGGTGGTCACTGCGAGAACTCGCAGCATTTCAATGAGACCAAGCAGTCGTGCGAGTATGGAGTCGACTCGCTTTGCGTGGACGTAGCAAATATATGCGAAATATTGCCCGACAAGACCAAGTTTCGGCAGGAGAATGACTGTAACGAGTACTATGAGTGCAAGAGCGGAAAGCATACACTTAAGACTTGCTCGTCAACGCAGTACTTTGATGTAGAGATCGGCGGCTGTGCGCTTAAAAGTCAAGTGAAATGCACAGCGCATTCCAAGAAGGATGTTTGCGGTTCCAAAAGCAAACCGATTTCTGGCTTCCAATCGGACGGTGCCACTTGCCGCGGCTACTTCTATTGCGCCGACCTCGGCGCCGTTCCCGACATTGATCCCATGTGGGCCCAGTGTCCAGAGGGCTACTTCTTCGACGACATTAACAAGAGATGCGGCCTGCCCACTTCGGTGGTGTGCACACACAACCGCTGTGAGGGGCGTGGCACCATGCTGGTTACCAGCAGCAGTAACAACTGCCACAACTATATTACGTGTGTGGACGGCGTCGAAGTTGAGGAGAACACCTGCCATTGGGATTATTTTTTCGATGAGTCAGCGCAAGGCTGCTCTAGTAAGATTATTTACGACGAGTGCTGCGATGGTCGTGACTGAGCTAAAGCCGTGTCAATTCATGCATATGTGTTTGTACATGTCGATATGTATTTGGGTACTGGGATGTGTAGGTGTCAATCAAATATTTGACAGCAGGTACAATTTGTTTGTGTACAATGTGAATTCCAATTGTTATTTAAACCATGTATTTCCTGAAAATATGAAATGTTTTAATAAAATCAGAACATTATTTTAGCCAAGCTGATCTTTATTACTACCCCCGCAACAATAAACTCGCTAAGCGCATCAATTGCAGCCGAAAATTATGATGTTTAAAATACGCTTTATACATTGGTTGTTGTACCACAATAATTAAACAGTAAATTGCGGTTCCGTTATCTTCCAAATGAAAAAATATCGCATAAACACTCGGTATCGATAGACAAATCGATAGATATTTTACAACACTGCTGCAGTTTAATAATTTCTTTCAACTTACCTTTTCATTTCAAAAAATACCCCAAAAATGATTGTTTTAATGGATATTCTTGATAATATGATATTAGGTTTTATTTTTTACGTTATGCTGTTAGTTATCCTGCTATTTAACAGTTCCAGCCAGTGTTAAGTTTCGTGACACTGTTAAGTTGTGTGCTGATTACAACCAAATAGTCCATCTCTTTCCTCTATTACACGATAGAACGCCGTCGCTCGTTGCAAGTTTGTTTTTGCAATGCGAAAAGAAAAACATTTTAAACTGAAAAATTAAATAAACTTAAGCGTGCAAATATCAGACCGACAGCAAGTGACGGCAAACTAACAAAAAAAAATGTGTAAAATAAATCCGTGCTGAGCTACTATATACACATTTTTTTGTCGACTTGAGTTTTGATTTTATACGAGCATAAAATGTAAGTAGTCAAATTAGAAAAAGACTCGCGTTCTGATCCACAGCTTAGTTTCGATTTTCAATTTAACAACAGCTCTGGCATGAAGCCTACTCAGTCCGGTGGCAGTAGTACCAGCACCGGCAAAATGGGCGAACCCATCGAGTATGTAACCCTGATTAGCGACGACTCTGACGGGGAGCCGTCCCCCAAACGCAACCCTACAGGAGGCGGCAGCCAAGCCGGCAACCAAACGAAGGCAAAATTTGACGACGACTCCAACGACACACCTGCCACAAGTGACGAGCGGCGCACTAGCCGGCGGAACAAGCCCAAAGTCGACTACACGAATAAGCCGGCAACGGCAAGTGCGGAGAATGCGTCCGCGTCTTATGAAAAGTGCAGCTCCGGTTCGTCAGGTAGCAGCACTGGACCGTCGGATAAACGCGGGCATGTGCAGACGGAGCTGCGCTCCCGGAAGTCGGAGACGGCAGTTCATCAGAGCGCAGCCTCTGGCACCCGCGGCGCTTTGCCAAAGGACACAAATGGCACCAATGGGGATGCGCGCGATAACAGCACCCCCACGGTACTTTCCGGGCAGGAAGGTGCAGTCTTTCAGTCACGCCTGCCCTTTAGCAAGATGACACCTAATGAGGAGGCGTGCTTTCCGGATATTAGCCGCTCGGGCATACTGGGGCATCGAGTTTTCCTTAACATACGTAACGGTCTGCTGCACATGTGGGTGGATAATCCCAAAACCCAGTTGACTTTTGAAAATGCACTCAAACGACTGCCGCCGCCCTTCGACAGTGACCCGAATCTGGTGAGACGTGTGCACTCATTCTTGGAGCGGCACGGCTTTATCAATTTCGGCATCTTCAAGCGGATAACTCCCATACCCATCAAGAAGCTTGGCAAGGTAATTGTGATCGGTGCGGGCATCTCTGGACTGGCAGTTGGGCAACAGTTGCAACAGTTTGGTATGGATGTGATCGTGTTGGAAGCGAGAGATCGAGTTGGCGGGCGTATTGCCACGTTTCGCAAAAACAGCTATATTGCCGACCTGGGCGCCATGGTGGTGACGGGTGTTTACGGCAATCCCATGACCATTCTGAGCAAGCAGATTGGCATGGATCTGGTACCAATTCAGCAGACATGCCCGCTGTACGGTCCCGATGGTAAACCAGTGCCAAAGGAAAAAGATGATGTTATTGAGCGCGAGTTTAATCGGCTACTAGAATCGGCCAGCTATCTGTCGCATCGTCTGGACTTTAATTACGCCGGCAATAATCCTGTCTCATTGGGCGATGCCCTGGAGTGGATCATTAATATGCAGGACAAGGCCGTGCAGGAGAAGCGCGCCGCACATATGCAAGAGATTATTGCTGCACAAACGAAAATCATTGAGCACCGCAAAAGGCTGAAGAGCATTCTACAGAAGATTGCAACGCTCAAGTCTGAGCTTCAAACATTGGTTAGACAGCGCGTTCCAAAGGGCGCCCAAAACGAAAATGGTTATGCGTGCCAAGAATACACCATTCGCACCACTCAAATCAAGCTGGAAGACCTTGTCAATGTCGAAGCGGAGCTGCGCAGTGAGGGGCATAAGATGGAGCTCAAGCTCCAAGAACTAGAACAAAACGGACCAAGGTAAGTGGCTACATTTAGATGATCATTAAGATTCATATAATATATGATATACGCAGTCAGGTGTATCTATCCTCACGCGACCGTCTGATACTGGACTGGCATTTTGCCAATCTGGAATTCGCGAATGCCACACGCTTGGACAACTTGTCGCTAAAGCATTGGGATCAGGATGATGACTTTGAGTTTATTGGCCACCATACCACAGTGCGTAATGGTTACTCCTGCGTTCCAGTTGCGCTTACGGAGAATATTGACATACGGCTCAATAGCGCTGTCAAAGAAATTAAGTACAACAGCAAAGGCGTAGAGATTGTGGCTGAAAATCTGAAAACTTCCAACTCGCAAATGACATACAAGGCCGATTTGGCCGTCTGTACGCTTACACTGGGCGTTCTCAAGGTGGCGGTCACGCAGGAAGAGGAGTCACAGCATGGCAATACTGTTAAATTCGATCCACCACTGCCAGACTGGAAGCAACAAGCCATACGTCGCTTGGGATTTGGTAATCTCAACAAAGTGGTGCTCTGTTTTGATCGTATATTCTGGGATCCCAATGCGAATCTCTTTGGCCATGTGGGCAGCACCACTGCCAGTCGTGGTGAGTGGCACACTTGTGATTCCATTCATTTGAAAACCATTTCAAAAATTGTTACATTAAAGGGGAAATGTTTCTGTTCTGGAGCATCAGCTCGTCGCCGGTTTTGCTGGCCCTCGTCGCTGGCATGGCAGCCAATATTGTTGAGAGCGTGACGGATGACATCATTATCGGACGCTGTATGTCCGTACTAAAAAATATATTTGGCAACACATCGGTGCCTCAGCCCAAGGAGACGGTCGTCACTCGTTGGCGCAGCGATCAGTGGGCCCGTGGATCATATAGTTATGTTTCTGTAGGTTCCTCTGGCAGTGACTACGATCTTCTTGCAGCACCAGTCATCCCGCCCACAAGTTTCGAGCCGCATTTTAGCAAAGATGCCGAAGAACTGCCTCGCCTTTTCTTTGCGGGCGAGCACACGATACGCAACTATCCAGCGACTGTGCACGGCGCGTATTTAAGCGGCTTACGTGAGGCTGGTCGCATTGCTGATTACTATTTAGGCTATCCGGAAGGTACCCCGCCGGACATCGGCTATTCTGTTACAGAAGCCGCCAACTCGGTTTCAGTTGGCAATGTTGTAAAACTGCGCGACCTTTCGCCACGTCTTTCTGACTCGCCCGTGTCCAAAAAGTCTGAGGAGAATTTAAACGTTAACGATTCAACAGATTTAAAGATTTAAATCCTGTACTTTTTTTTTATAGTTGCATGAGCCAGAACCGAAGACCCCACTTAGAAATATAGATATGTCTTATATGTATGTTAAAGTAATTGTGTTTTTCTGCACTTTGTTACGATCGGTGATTAAAATGCAGGATACGTTATTATCTTGCTAAATCGTATACAAAGCGAGTAAAAAGGCTATATCTTAGAATTTTTGTTTGGATCTCGTTTTTATAGATTTATATTAAGTAGAATCAGAAGTTAATCAAATTATTTGTTGGTGTTCTTCAACATATACATTTTAAAACCAGGTTTATTATATTTTTCAACTTAACTGCAAGCTTTTGCCTTTTGCCTGGATTAACTGGTATAGAATTTCAATGTCTTATTTGCTTTCCTCGAGGGTGTCGTCAAAGTTGATAATAATCTGCTTTTGCGTAGGAACGTGTCGCTGGTAGACGATGCCAACTGCATCGAGCATCCGCTTGGAGGCTCGATAGATAGGCTTTTCCGCGTACTTGTCAGATATGTAGTATATTTCTCGGATACCCGATTGTATGATTAATTTTGTGCACTCGTTGCAGGGGAAAAGAGTCGTGTAGAGGCGAGTACCATCCAGACTAGTGCTATTGCTATTGAGTATAGCGTTGGCTTCCGCGTGCACCACATACATATTCTTGTTTTCCAAGGGATTACTATTGTCTTTCGACCAGGGAAAAACATCATCGCTACAGTCTCTTGGGAATCCATTGTAACCAATTGCTACAATGCGCTTGTGCTTGTCCACAATGCATGCGCCAACCTGCGTGGAGGGATCTTTACTACGCCTCGACGAAAGTAAGGCCGTGGCCATGAAGTAGTCATCCCAATGTAAGTAATCCTGTCGCTTCTGAATATGCAGCTTCGCCAAGCTTGCGGTAAGATCTGCCGCCTCCTCGCATTTCTCGTTGTGTTTCTTGGGCATTACACACTGAAAGTAAAAATTTAAATAAATAAATTAGGATTAATTTACTTTGGTTTTGATTGCGACCAAAAAATTAATAACAGATGGTATGCATTTATGTGTCTGATTCTTTTTTATTCGTTATGAATATTATCATAAGTATAATAGAGGCAAAATTAAAGTAATATATATTTAATATAATTGGAATTTACAAAAAATACTTTTTATCAGAATCGAAATATTCAAATTTGATTAGGTGCATTAATTGGTTTATATGTCTCTTAGGCGATTTTCTGCACTTGTATGGGATTCTGCTTTAGATGCAGATAAATGGATCGCATCCGTGAGACATCTTTGCCTGATTTATTGACTTTGGGATTGAAGTCGCACAGCTTGGCAATGCGCTCCCACTCGGTGCCAGGCTCAACAGCCCCATTCTCCAATGATGCGGCCTGCACCTCAGCGTTGCGAGACGACAGTTTTGTTTTGGAAATGGAATCCTCAATCTGGCGAAGCCAGTCGTCCAGCTCTTTCTTGGACTGCTGACGTAGTTCCTCTTTCTTGCGTTCCTCTTCAAGATCCTTTTCCTCCAGCCGCTGTTTTTGTTCCTCACGCCATTTGCATATTTTCTCGGGCTCTTCACGCGACGGCGGCGGTCCTGAGATTCCAACCGGTTCGTTCGACTCGCTTCCGATGACTTCGAAGCTGCCCGTCGACGATTCAAAACCACCTCCAATGTTTGCAGATAGTTCGCTACCAAGCTCAGCACCGGCGCTGACTAAACCGCCAAGCAATCCATCGTCAGTTGCAGGTGCTGCAGCTGCAGCTGCATTTGTTGCAGATCCACCAGTTATTTCCGCTTCGAGGTCCCCCAGAACCGATTGCTCGCGGGCCAGAAACTCTGCTGCTGGATCGACTTCCTCTTTGGTAGCGAAATCATCACCGAAATCCATATTGTACTCTAGAAAATTTTACACGCAGACATGTTAACAGTTAATGGGCGTATTTTCACTTACACGTAGATATGTGTAAATATCAAATTAATGTCCAATCTGAATTTCATTATCCAAAATCATAAATACCTACCGCTTTGGTTGTTTTTTACGACTTGATAGTTTATGTTTTTAGTTGTTATTTTCTGCGCATATACAAATGGTAATTTTTAATGTGGGTTCTCTTCACAAGTTTTTTTTTTGTAAAAAAATATCTTGTAGAAATGAGTAAAACGACAGTCACTAATAGAGATGACAATTTATCGATAATATAACATAATTATCTTAAAGTTCGATTCGATTAATAGAATTTTTTATTCTATTTATACAAAGAATTGAGAATATTTTTTAACAAAACATAGTTAATATTATTATATATAACGACCCGGTTAATTTCTATTAATTTGCCATTAATGCGACTTCATCTGTATGAACATTTTACTTTTCGCACGCCGGAAAATTTGTAAGTGCACTAATAATAATAAATTAAGTACGATTTTATTAGTTTATGTGCATCAAATCGATGTTTGAACTGAGGAACTGCGCCGATTTAGTTGACCGCTGGTGTAGAAATATATCACATTTTACAACACTTGTTTGATAGTATGAATAATATAGATTTATGTGCATGTTTACATACATAAATATTGTATTTTCACACGTTGTTATAAATGTATGTAGGCTTGCATTTTAGATTGAAAATATAATTCAGGCATAGCGGAAGGTTAACTCACCAAACAAATAATTAAATATAAAACAATAGAATAGCAAAGAGAAGAAAAAAACTTAACACTCAGGCTAACATAAGCACACGAATTTCATCGAACTGATTCACGTGTGCATTGTGTTCAAATGAACAACAGTTCATTTGTACTTGAGCGGCCATTTTGGAGATTGTTTCACCCACAAAAAAGTTATGCAGCCCAATTGTAGTAGTTTACAAAATAAATTTACTTAAAATTGTAACGTAAATAGACAAGTGCATAATCAAAGCTAAAAATAAAGATGATCCATCGAAGTGTGAAACCAACGAAGCAGTAAAACGACCAAGTTGCTTCGCCAGTGACTATCTCTCAACGCACGCACACATGTATGTATGTACATGCATACATATACTTTAAGCATACATACATACATAAGTATGTACATGTTAAAAGTGGTCAAAGGAAATATCAACTGATGTACAAACTTACACGCATACATATGTATGTAAGCGCATAATACAACTTTTTGATTAAATTGAAAGAAAGAAAAACATGTAAAAATAGAAAAATGTGCCTTCCAGTAACTGCCAAAACACGCCAAATTGTGCGCGGCATAATTTATCACTGTATGTATGTGTGTATGTGTGTATAAATATCAAAGTATCTGCGAAAAATGCACTTGTCGCAAGGGCTGCATAAAACACAACTGTATTGATGTTGCCTGTTAAACATATTTTAACCTGCAAAAAACATAAATAAGTGAATGCGTTAAGTGAGTTGCAATGCAATACAAACAAAATACCCAAATTTCTACATGTACATATGCGTGTATGTATGTCTCAACAGGGGCATTGAGCAGACGGTGTCTGTACTCGCAGCCCTGGAGTCTGCATTTGATGTTTATCCCACACTGAAATTGAAAATTAACCCTAAACCTGCTTCCAGCTCAAGCACCCCACATGGATCCCAACTCCAGCCCCTGGTCTTACGCTTACAATCGCATCGTACCCGGTTCCGCAGGCAGCACGGGCAGCACAGCGGAGGAATTTCAGCATCCGCACTTAGCGACAATTACAGCGGCCAGCCTTGCTAGTTTTAACGCGGCTGCAGCGAGCGGCGGCAGTTTCGTGCCACCATCGCCGATCGGCAGCTACAATCCAGTATTCCAGCAGATATATCATCATGCGGCCGCAGCTAGCGTGCAGCCCAAGCCGGCGCACTATGCATCAACGACGGTCAACACGCCGCATCGACAGCTGCAGCAGCTGCAGCTGCCCACGTCGCTGGACAAACAGCTTAGCTCCTTTCAAAACCAAGCGGCGGTAGCGGCTGTTTCCTCCGCCGCTGCGGCAGCCGCTGCTGTCAACAATGTTGCCTCGAACTACTACGGCGAGAACTCATCGTCCAGCGGCGCCTCACCGTCACCCACTACGGTGGCTCTGACCTCGACTTCGCTGACGTGGAACACACCCAACATGATATCCAACACGTTCCTTGCCATGCAGCAGCAACAGCAGCAGGCACAACAGCAACAGCAGCAGCAACAACAGCAACTGAACCTAGTTGCCGACAAAGTGGTGAGTATTAAAAGTAATTATTGCAACCAAATTTAACACAGAGTTGCAGATGGCCATGGCCGGGAGGGGCTCAAGGGGCTCAGGTTGTGTACATGTGTGTGGGTGTGTGTGTGTGCTGGTGTCCTCCTTATAAGCAATTCTCAATGCATACTAATCGGTGGTATTTGCTAATATCTCCATTTATGTGGAGGCTTTGCACTTAACAAAAAGAGGCTATAAGCATTCTTTTAAGAAAATAACTGAAGTGACCGAAAAACAATTGATTGCCGATTATTGTTAGTATTCCCAATTATTCCCCGTTGAGTACAACTGATAGCCCTACGCTTAACCTGGAGTCATTTTCTTGAATAGTAGCTTATTTGAGTCTAGCTGAATTGCAAACTGTGGTATCTGCTGGGCCCCTTTTGATGCTCCCTCAAGTTCCCTAATACTAACTCTGCTTAGACTATGCCTCAACTTATGCCTAACTGTCTATGTATGTACTGTAAATATGTAACGAAATCCGAACAAAACAATTTCCGTTTCCATCAAATTTATGTACAAAAACAAAAAATCAACCTGCCAACCAAACTTCTACGGCTACAACAACAACAACAACAATGTATCTGTAGCAAATCAAACAAGAAAATTCACAACAAGCAAAGGCGCAAATCAAAGCTTACAACGAACTAATTTACTTGACCCAATTGCAACAACAACAACAACAGCAGCAGCAACAACAACAACAACAGCAGCAACAGCAGCAGCAGCAGCAGGAACAATTGCAACATGAGATTGCCGACGCGGAGACCTATTACACCCTAGATGGTCAAAAGCTGAAGCTGGCTCGCAAGGATACGCAAACGATACACATCGAACAGCAGAATGTTAGCCCCGCTTATGCGGCGCAGTATGCGAGTCCCGCATTGAGCTCTGCGGATGGATCACCTATCACGAATTTACACACGGTCGATGTGGGCGGATCACCACAGGTGATTGTCTATAAGACAGCATCGGCGCCTGTGTCCGCGTCGGCGGCATCTGCGGCTGGTTCCCCAGTATCGCGACGCACCGTTATGAACGTGGCAGGCGCGGGTTCGTCTGCAGCGCCCACAACGGTGGCCTACTCATCTGTGATACAAAGCACATTGCAACAGCAGCAGCAGCAACAGCAGCACCTGCAGCAGCAGCAACAACAACAGCAGCAGCAGCAGCACTGCTGGACAAAGCCAGAGGATGGGCAGGAGGAGATTAAGAGTGTGTTGCAGTTGCACGTCAAGCAAGAGCATCGGCAGCTGGACTATGCCAATGATGCAGCTGGCGGTGCAGATACCAGCGAGAATCTCGTGTTTAATTTGCCGCCAGGCCTAGAGATAAAACAAACGTTCTATCAGCCGGCCGTTGTTGATGTAGATTCATCTGCGGCAGTGTCCTTGCAACAGGCACAGGCGCAGGCAGTGGCGCAGGAGCATTTGTTGCAACAGCAACAACAGCAGCAGAGTGCTAGCTCGCCGCAAGGCCGGCGACAGCACGTTGTGGCTAATATGATATTGTCACCGGGGACAGGGACTTCGAGCAGCTTAGCGTCACAGATTCAAACAGTGCCAAAGGTTTGTATTTCATTTGTATGTATTTATTTTCGATTAATTTTTCGTTTGTTTTGTTGGTCTGTTTAAGTTTGTTTTGCTTATGCTTTTGTTATTATTTTGTGTGTTTTGTTTTCGCATTCAGTTCACCTAACGGCTGTTATACAGATTTGTAATCGATTTCAACAGGCAGAACTAGTTCATAATCGAACCTATTTTAGCCATGTGTATAACAAACTATGTACATATTCGAACTATGTATATGTGTATGGAAAGAAGCTGCTATTAATTTGTCTGAATGTGTTGTATTCATGCAAAGCATTTATGTTAACATAGATAACAGTATATATGTACTCTCTCTTCACCTTGTGGCGGTGCTAAGTACTACTTCTGTTATCTTTTCTATACTGTTATTGTTTACAATTTGGTGGCGGTCTTTCGTTTTCATTTGATTATAAATCTTATTTGTTTCTAAATATGTATAAATACATACGTACGTTCTGTTAAAACTATTAAATTATTGCAATCATAGCTAATTGTTTTGTTGGCAAAATCTTGTGGTCAATTTGAAACTGTGACGTGACGTTGTTGAGGAAGTTTTATGTGATCTTTGTACTACATTTTATAAATATATTCCACATGCAAACTTAATACATAACCAATTTGAAGCAACACATTAGCCAGTGTGTTAATCAAAATCCTATTGTTGGTCCATTTGCAGGAGGACGTAAAGCCGCCGCCTAAGCCAGCAAAGACGCCGCGCAAGCGACAGCCGAAGAAGACGCTCATTCCGAGTAGCGAGTACAGCACCGTTCGCAGTCCACAGGAATCCCAGCACCACCAGCTGCAACAGCAACAGCAGCATAATCAGCAGCAGCAACAGCAGCAAAATACGTATTACGATTTTAATAGCAAGTGGAATGCGCCGCTCAAAACGGAGAACAATGCGGCGTCTGTGTCACCGGCGACAACCATCAACATACCCACATATCCGCAGCACAGCCAACAACATCAGCAGTCCTCCCAGCAGCAACAGCAGCAGCAGCAGCAACATCTGCCACAGCCCGCACACTTGCAATCGTCACAGGCGCAATCGCACCTCACGCAGCTTGCCCAGTACTATCCAGCGTTTCCGCAGCCCATTGCATCCCAGTACACGGCGTGTATGCAGCAGCAGCAACAGCAACAACAGCAGCAGCAGCAACAACAACAGCAGCAACAGCAACAGCAGGTCTATACACAACAACAACAGCAGCAACAGCAGCAGCAGGTCTATGCACAACAACTTCAGCACCAACAACAACAGCAGCAGCAGCAACAACAGCAACAGCAACATCAGCATGAAAAAGTTGAGGCTGTGCATCAGCAAGAGGAGGATACGGCAGCTGCTGCTGCAGCTGCCACCGAGGCCAGCAATAAGGTCATCGTGCCAAACATAGAAGAGGAGCTGGATTTTTTGGCCGATGCGAATAGTGCACCAAAACAGGGTTATGCCAATTCGCTGACAACTAATGGGCGCAACACAAACTCCTCGACAAACAATACAAACTTTGGCATACGTAATCCTAACAAAACGCCTTCACCGGAGCCGCCTTCTATTTCAACGCATGACTGCAGCAATAACGGATTAACGCCGGCGACGACAACACTTAGCACATCCGGCACGACGTCCACAACGTACAGCCCCGCCGCACCGAAGCCAGTCAGCGTGGGCACGTCAATTGGAGAAAAGAAGACACAGTTTATGGATAGCTATCTGAAATTTCTTCAAGGCGAACGTGACGATGATCCGCCGCCAGTGGTGAAGCCTTCGCGCAAGCTAAATTATCCACGTGCTCCCTATAAACGCAAAGGCAAGGCTGGTGCCGGTGATGAGGCGTCGACGTCGCAGGCAACAGCAGCGGGCGCGGCAGCGACGGACAGCCAAGCGGCACAGAATCTGGCCGGTCTCGTCGGAGACGATGGGCATCGCATCAAAATACTCTCACAAACTCAAATACTGCCGAAAAAGAGGCCGCATGCACAAATGGTGGCGGCGGCAGCTGCCGCAGCAGCAGCCGCTGAATCAACATCTACCTCTGTCATACAGCATCCCGCAGCCGATCAGACGACATCCTCGTTTCGGCCATACGCCCAGCAGCAACAGGATTCGCCGGGATTGGGCGCCGCACAGCATTTCGTGCAGCAGCATTGCGCGCAGTTGGGTTCTGGTGTTGGTGGAAGCGGGAGCGGCAGTCAAGGTATGTTACTTGACCAACAGCATAATTCCAATAAGCACTCTACTATCGCAACTACTGCTGCGCCATGCAACAACAATTACAACAACAACAACAACCACCATCACACACCCGCCGCCGCCGACGCGTCAACGGCGGCAGCCGCCATCAACACAGCTGTTAGCGTGGCAACACCAGCCGCCCCCAATCATCATCACCTTATTAATCTGATTTGGCCGTGGCAGCATTAGTCGCGATAATGACCACATCGCATCCATGTTCCATGTGACCCGACAGACCAGACAGACAACGAACCTTAATACCAGGGACATGGACACTGTGCATATGTAAAAACCGAATACATAAACTTAACTTTTAAAATTGTTATAATGCCGAAATGCAAGAGCAAAAAAAAAAAAAAAAAAACAAACAAAAAATAAGAAAGAAAAAAAAAGAAAAGAAAAAGAAAGTATAAGTATTTTTGAGATGGAATACCGAGAACAAATATTATTAATTTAAAAAGAAAAGAAAAAAATCATCAAAAAATAAAAACTTGTATTTTTATTATTTACTTGTGAGCCGGAACGGCTGCAGCGGCAGTGTCCCTCGATGGCTTCTCGGCTGTGGGTTTATGTTGTTGACGTAGTTGTTGTTCGGCGATTGGCTTGATTGCCATTGTGTTGGCCGTTTCGCCGCCCCACCACATTGATGATGCTAACTACTTTTGTGCTCTTCACAGACCCTTTAAACTTGCCGCCGCGGCGGGAGCAATGCTCCCGCAAGGCCAAGGAGAGCAGCATGCACGCGCTTCTCTTGAATACATCAACTATTGGGGAGGGCGGTGCGGTTGGTGAGCCAGAGGAGTTCACCGACTCGGACACGGATCCCGTTTGGACGCCGCAGGAGGAAGATGTAAGTGTTTCTTCTAGCTAGAGCTTGCTCGCTCGCCCGTTCGTCGTTTGTAATCTATTCCTTATCAAACAGAGTGACGACGGCGGCAAGGGCTATGGCAAGCGGAAAGCAGCAAGACGCATCAAGGGAACGCCGCGCAAGAACACCTACTGCCAGCCAACAACGCATTTGCATCAACACCAGCAGTTGCAACAGCTGCAGGCGGCACAGCAGCAGCAGCAGCCACAATTGCATGTCTCTAGCGATGGCTACAATCCGCAGCAGGATCTGCAAGGTAGTGCAGATGTTGGTTATGGAAGTGCACCAACGGGAACACCAGCCACGGCTGAGAACTTTAAAGTATGTTCAGCAACAAGATCACATGTATCCCGTCTTATAAAACTATATCATTAATATTATATTGTTCTTGTAACTCTTGTACAGACCGGAGACTTTATCGTTTTACGTGCGGATTTGGTTAACGATTGGCCCACCATTTGGCAAGTGGACTCTAAATGTATATTGCAAAAGTACGAGCCATTCCGACAGAACGGCAAGACCTTTTACCGCAACATGTCCAAAGTAAATGAAATATATATATCCATCTTATTAGTACTAATAATGCTCTTCTCTTTGTAACCATATAGTACGCTTCGTGGAATCTAGAAACGAAGAAACTCTACCTCAAAGCACCCGTTCGCATACAGATGCAATCTCACACTGAGACCATTGTGGAGTTTATGCGTTCCGAGCTGCTGGCCGACGATACTGAGCAGTTCATTGAGAAGATAATGGAGGATTTTCTAACGTATCGGGACAATTTTGAAATTTATATACAAACAATGATATCGCAGGCACTCGATCCAAGCTTTTTCTCTGAGATAACGCGCGAGAAAGGTAAGTGTTCCATTACGATTTCATAAAGTGTATTACCTTTTATTTACTACTTTCCAGATGACTACTTTTTGGGTAGCGTGCGCGTAATAGACAACATTATGGACAATTGCAAACGGAAACTGTTGGCCATCACACCGTGGACACGCAGCATTATCTCATCAATTGAGACGTGGCCAAAGTGTCACGTTTTCTCTGAATGGGTGCAGAACAATTTGACCCAAAAGAACTGCGCTGGCTGCCATCAACCAGGCATTGCGGTTCGTTTCCTCCTTTTTGGGGAACCCTATAATCCAAACACCATGCAGACCATATCTGCAGATGCGCGAATTGTTTACGAGAAGGTAAACCTCTTTTAGAGTTGTCCATATAATTTGTTTGGTTCACTGTTCTATTTGCTTTCAGGACATTGTATTGTGTCGCATTTGTGCTGCGCGTGCGGATCTCTTCCACAAGATTGCTCATGAGAAGTTCAATCTGTTTATCAATTGTTCGCAGCGTGTTACAGAGCAGCAGCAACAGTTTCCCGGCAAGACCTCAACGGAAATACTAAATGATCTATTGGCCGAACACAACTGGATAGATGAGGTTAGTTGTTTCATATTATTTTTGTTTAATTTATATTAATGTGTATATTTTGAAATTTGATAGCTCTTCCGCAACATGCGCAACTGTTGGGCCGAAGTTGAGAGCTTGGAGCGGCAGAAACGTTTTCGCGAAGTAATGCAGTAATTATCAATAGCAATAATAGGCTTTGTTTACTTACTGAAGGTTGTTCTGGAGCTGGAGCCGCTTGAATATATATTAATGTATACAACAAAGCTGCAATAAACTCAATGAGTTGTTAGTTATAATCATATAACATTAATCTTAAGATTGTGCTAGGACGGTTTTTCGCATTGCATGTCGCAGTCCTCTTTAGTCTGCGATCCAATCAAGCCATATGTTATACACATCGCATAAACATACTATGTTAGTGTTTATGCTGTGACTGGTTGTAGCAAGGTATAAAACGTATGTATATAATATTATAATATGGGTATTCCTAAGATTATAATGCGATTCTGTCAGCAACTATCTCATAAGCTTAAATTAGAAAGTCCAATGCACTTTTCGTTGCATACCACATAGACTTTAAAGTTGTCTTTGGCAATGCGTTTTCTCAAACGCATAGATGAATACACTTCTTTATGTTTTACCGACCGACACATTCAAAATTTACATAGAATCGGTATAAGTTAGCGCACTACAAAATAGTTTTAGCACCTACAGTATAAATGAATTTTAACAATAGACAAAGACATAGTGCAGAATTTATGGTTTGCGGCCTTTTATTTTTAATGTCCATGACCGAAGTTATTCTATTTAGTTCTTATATTTAATTAAATACTAGTTGTACAATTCAGTTGCTTTCAAGTTCATTCAATAATTGAAATAAATTGCTTGTAAATAAAACAAATATTAATACATAAATAATTTAAGCCTTACAACTTGTATAACTTTATTGCCGAACTCTCACTTCAGTTCGTATACAAATTGTAATTTTAATCTAAAAACAGGGTAGCATCAGTGCGAGCTCTTGTTACTTGTTTGCTTTAAATATAGTTTCCCTTACCGTTTGTGTCCAGCTCGCATGGCCAAACATAATAATCAGCCAGGCGGTTTGTGGCCTTGACAAATCGCTTGGTCGCGCCCTCATTTCGAATTTGTTGCTGAATTTTACGGCAACTAGAGTCCGTTCTACGCTAATAGAACTTAATATCGATGACGTTGCAGAAGACACGTTTTCTTTATTTTTTTTTCTATGGCTGCTAAAGGTATATACTTATATAAATTACCATACATGTATATTCATTGTTACTCCCATTCGTTGCCTTCAACCGAATGATGACTTAACCATACTCTATTCTTTCACTAAGAAATTATGAAATTGCAAGCGCAAACAATACATTTTTCGCACTACTGAATTTACGTACATATATCATTAGCTGTTACATTCATCATATCATTTGTTAAGCTTACATTAAGTTAAGTGCATATTTTAAGCATTCTCTAGGTGACACCCTGCACTGCGGTACACAGTACATTGGTATATTGGGACCTACTAATTACTTAACTTGGTACTTATACACAATGGACAATCGTTTTTTACAACTTCGTTTATTTTTTTGTTTTGTCCAATTGCTAGAAAGTAACGCGATACATGACATGCGAAAATGCAAATTCATTTTGCTTCAAAGGCGAGGTATTAAAAAAAGAGCTTAATAAGTCTAAGAGCTGTTTACAGAGTTAGTGAAGAGACTATTACAAGTTATTTGGTCTTCCGCGCAGTACCATAAAATTAACTAAGTCAAAGGCCATGAAGCTTGTCCTAAAGGTCCTTTGAAGTAAATGCAAAAGTTGGTATCTAATATGGCTTTCAATTTGAACTACGCCATTATCAAAATATAACCAAGCTAACACTTCGAATAATCGCCTTGAGCAGGGTGTGGTTCCTTAACCCTGACATTGCCCTTCAAGACAGATATTAAAAAAAATTTAAAAAAAAAATAACTTCAAATATGCTTGGCTTTGTGAAGTGAGAGTGAAAGTGTGTGTGTGTGTGTGTGTGTGTGTGAAACGCGCAGCCTCCGCGCGTCGAAAGGGGAAGCAAAAACGCGGCAAGCAAGCAATCAGCTGTTTTTGGTAACGATTTTTGTTTTCTTTCGTTTTCGCAATAACTGCGCCGTCGCCAGCCACAGCCAGCCACAGTTGACTAAAAGGATTTCCGTGCTTTCAGCTCATTTCAGTTCGTATCGGTATTCCATACAAGACGGAACGGAACGCGGACCAGCAATGTTTTATGCATATAAGCAAACAAATTCGCATTGCTATTGCATTCAGAGGCTAGACCGTGCTATTTAAGAACCGTAACATTGCCGCTCTGTGTGTTGTGTGCGTGTGTGTGTAAGTTCGTACGGTGTTTACGGTATCTACTGTGTGTGTGTATATGTGCAGTTATTGCTGGTGCCGCCGCATCAGTTTTCTGTGTGGCTTCTTTTAATCATTTGCCGCCTTTATACATACATATGTATGTATGTATTTCTTCTCTGTTATGGTCTTTGATATACATATCTGTCATTTGCTGGTGCAACAAAATTTCTGTTAACGTTTGTATGTATGTGTATATATACGTCATACACAACACACACACAAACGCATACGCTTGTACCTTTATTTCTACTGCCGTGTCATCAATTGGGAGCATCATTAAAGTGAATCTATGCGGTTTATTAGCCGCAAGCTCTTCCTCGAAGGTATACCTACATTTCATTTACATATTCTTTTATGCATACCAATATGTTTGTGTTTATTTATGAGATTATGTATGTATGATTAAGTCCTCCTCGGCATTCATTCTTATCGGGAGGCTTAATTGGTCAATGCTTTGCTTATCTATTTGGTTAAATATTTGCAAGACAAAAATATAAATTGAACCACTTGGTAATCATGAGTGAAAATATCTATTTGTATATGCATCTATACTGTCTACATATGTATAAATATAAGTCAAAACAAAACAAAAAAAAAATGCTTGCACTGAGACCTGCACGACTTGCAGATACGCTGTATCCAATTGGAATGCGCAGAGCTGGCGTGATAATGTCTCTGAAAAAAACGAAGTGTAGTTAATATATCTATATCTTCGCTAAAGCCTCTGAGATAGATTCTATACATTTAACTTAAGCACTTGCATAAATTTCTATAGCTTAATCAAACGTCATTCATTAGTTTTTTAAGGTTACAGGGTATCTGAAAGCCAGCCGTCTGCCCAGAACACATTTCACAATATATTTTATTGTAGAGCAACAAAAATGTTCTCAATTTGTAGATGACAGACATTTCAGTGGGAATTCATAAATAGCAAATTTTGTCTCTGAGATATTCACTATTTTTTTTCCTATCGTAATATTAAGTATAGTTACCTCGTTCTCCAATTCTTGGAGCAACCTTAAGTCCCTTCGGTCCTAAACTAATTTGCTAATTATCAGTCGGATGATGTCATTAGTCAATCTGTCCTAGCTGCGGACCAGTATTTTCGGGAACTCAAAAGACGGAAAGTGACCTTTACAATGCGCTTAATTGAAATGAATTGTGTCGTAACTTTCGTATCCTGGCTAAAAGCAAAGTTTTCTATTTAATTAAAACAAATGGTAGCGATATTAGGTTTGCTTTTTTTTCAACTTTCTGTCGTGCACAATTACCCAATAACAATTTCCGCATATTAATTTTTGGCTTTGCTTTGATGAAACGTGAATTGCGGCATTTAAGCCAACTCTGCGAATAAAATGATATTTCCTAGCTCCAACAGCTATGATGTGAATATTTACAGAAAGGTCGAAATGGGCAAGAGACTGTGGCTAACATTAAGCATAGAAGCGGGAGTTTGTTAAGGTTAACCTTATGCGCTGCCCATCAACAGCATCCATTTTGCCATTTAATACCCTGCGTGTTTGGCATGCAACGTTAAGAGGCGAACTGGGAATCGATGTGGCGCACTTTCTGGTTCCAATTTATTGGGAAACAGACAGCCAATTAAAAAAGAAACACAACAATAACTTTGAAATCGGCCTGAAATTGAGTGTGTGGTCGTTTGGCAGATGACAGAACACGACGTGGCGACAACTTACCCCAAATAATGCCACCTGACAGGTGGGTGGAGCTGGAGCTGCTTGTCGAGCGACCCTCGAGTTGGGGTCTGCAGCGCGCACAATTTGAAAAAAAATAATCTTATTTACAAATTGAAAATTAATTTTTGAAACATTTTCACTTTGTACAAATTGAATTTTGATAAAAGTTTCGCAGCCCCCTGCCGCATGCCCCTTGCCCCTTGCCGCATGCCGCGTGCCGCATGCCACATTTGATGCCATTTTCGACACGATTTATGCGTGTTGCGGTGCTCGTTACCATTGGGGCAAGGCGAACACCCAGAAACCAATAAGCTACGCTGCGGGTTTCCTCATTTTACACACTTTGTTGCAAGATACTACCTTCTTTCCTTGCCAAGGCTAAAACCGTTTTACCTTACCCCAATACGTGCCGCTGCAGCTCATGTCCTGAAAGTTCTTAATTTTGCCCGAAAGTGTGTGTATACTTCATTTAAATTGGCTTTTGTGTTGCTGGCATTTACATTTTACGCTTTCTAGTTTTCCATACTACCAGCTTTCGAGTAGGAGCCTTTTGTTCCGATGACCCAGCTATTAGCTGTTGGCAGTATGGAGGACAGCGGGCAGCATCGACATCCTGACCCACATGCAAACGAAATGCCTTTGTCACGAGCAGATACTAATTAATACAAAGGCAACCCCAACCCCCAAGCTTACAAATCATCTGAAATAGGTGAATGATAGTCGCTTCAGGGGCTTTGAGCATTTCATGCTTCTGTTCTCTATAGTTTCTATAACTTTGTAGAGGGCATTATAATTTAGTTATGCAATGTGTAACGCACATAGGGAAACATATCTAAAACCATAAAGTATATATAGTACCAGATCAGTATCAACAGGCGGTTCGATGTAGCCTAAGTCTTAAGGTTTCCACAAGGAAGCATATGTCCGAATTTGGGTGGAAGGGAACTCTAGCTCATATAGCTGAGATAACTCGACCTAACTTGACATTTGGGAGTCTCAACATGTTGTTGAGCTATGAGCAAAATCGTTTGAGCATTAGACTAAAATATCATATAGCTCTATAGGTGGAAACCTCTTCTGTTTTTTAAGTTATCTAGACTGAATTCGGGAATTAATATCAACAGCATGACACACACGCCTTAAGGGTATTTAATCTTCGACGTGTCGAATATGGTTCTTAATTTTCGCTTTATTTTTATTCATATTTGTTTTTGCATTTTTCGTTAAGGTTAAATCATTATTCACTCAACCGCACAGTAAGCAGATTTCCGCTAGGGAACACTAAAAAACGGATGTAGCATGTGTGTGTATGTGTATGTATGTGTGTATCTATGTGCAAACATGTATGTATGTATGTTTGCCTATTCATACCCAGTGTGTGGGCTGGATATTTCGAAGGCTGAAAACTTCTGCTTGATCGTTGTTGCTATTAAGCTTTTCAAAGTGGAACATTCGTACATTGAGAGAAAAGTTTAATACACTGTTCAAAATGCCTGAATTTGCCCTAAATTACAATTGAATGTCTTGTAATTAAAAGCTAACTTATTATATTTCTGATAATTTGGATATCTACCTTCTCTTTAGTTAATCGCAAGACTTGAATATATGTAATATAAATAATATGATAAAAAAACTGAATTGCACCGAAGGCAACAGACACAAAAAGAAAAAGTGCCAACATATATAAAGAGGGCACACCCGGCCGTGGTTGAAGGACGGACGAGGCACGACGCATTTTCCGGGCAAGTATGGGCGAATCATATTACGTTGCGGGCTAGACTAAATAGTACAAGGTACTAAAACAAACCTCAAGGCAAACACTCGTGCATGTGGCATGACTACAAGTCCGTGTTACTATCCAGCGAGTTGTGTGCGGAGCTGCAATTAAGACCCTGTCGGCGCCCGATGACAATAGGTGCGCCCCGTCGACCTGTTAGTGCGCCGTAGTCCGTAGTACACACGGCAGCGGTGTTTCAAGTTACACAACACATCCACGGCACGGTCAGAGGTGGCTGCCGGCCCGGACTTAGCCAGCCAAATCCGAACACCAACATGTTGCGCAGTTGTGTGTGCCTGCAAAGCGGCGGCAGTGGCAAGCGCCGCAGCTCCTCCGTGGAAGACGCCTCGTCGTGTCGCTCGTCGGAAATAGAGCGCGTCGGTGCCAGCATGCAGACGACCACGCTGGGGTCCAATGGCCAGCCACAAACGCTGACTCCGCCAACCAGCACGCGCGCCTCCAGTCTGTTGCAATTGTTCCAGAGGAAAGGTTGGTGCAAGCACTTCCGCAAACCGCTTCGAGGCATGAGTGCAACGCGGGCCGAGAAAAGTGAGTAGCTCTCTTTATTAATTACATTATTCGATTTTAATTATAAACACATCAAACAACGTTTACCTTTACGTAAAATAATAATACACTCTTTCAACAAATCCTTTCTAAAATCCGTACCAACGGATTTCAACTTTCCACTTATTTTCCGTCCGTGGAAAATTACACATTTATTGCATATCTTATTTGACATTTCGTGCGGATCTTTGATGAACAAACTCCTAAAATAATTACAACTATTTTATGTTTGACCTTTGAAACGAAGTTTGTTGCAAATTGAATAGAACTTGAACTTTCACCTTTACAAATTTGACCCCACTCTCCACACAAGGGGGGTGGGGAATATATTTGCTAACTATCTTTAACATGAATTTGACGCCCTGTGAGGAATAAAAAGAGAAATATTTAAATAACCTTCATTTACAAAACATAAAGGTAACAGGTCAGGTGATAAGTCAGTCATCAATCAATCAGCAAGGACATGCAGGCTTAAATGGATATGTTTATCCTTAATGGACTCTTAGCAGCCTCTTTCATTTACACATCTTTAATTGTTACAATAAAGTAACTCATCTGCAAGATATATATATTTTGTAAATGTAGTTCCCTCGTATTGATTTACGCATGTGAAGGGCAAGGCTACCAAAATATGGAAATAAACTTGATCTGGTTTTGTGTTATAAGAGTCAGCACACGCCGTAGAGTAACTAAGTGGACTACTTATTTCACCAACACTCAACAAGAGCAAGCATAATAAAATAAATAAAAAAGCAACAAAAAATACTATTGCCGGCCCCCAACCCATTTCAACCTTATTTCTAAGTTTGGTCAGCCCCCATTTTAGCTTTTGAGCCAGCGGCTGCGGCTGCGACTGTGTTCGTGTATATTGTGTTACAATTTGTGGCACAAACGAATTTAGCAGACGACGACAGCCCCAAGGCAACCCCCCCCCCCCCCCCCCCCCTACTCCTGCCGCTTGACCACAACATTGCTGACCAAAGGTAGGGGGGGGGGGGCACAAATCGACGGGGCTGACACACATGCACATACATTATGGGGCCAATACGGGTAGGGAGACGCTCAGAGACAAGGGCGGATTCCAATAGAGAGACCCGCAAGAAGACCACACACCAAAAAGGTTGCCAGTCGTTCTGGTCGCAGTCTTGTGCTGGATACCGTGTGTAAAACAATGGAAATTGTGGTTACCAATTCTATAATAATTGATTTTACCAATATACCTATAAAATATATTCGTGCGGGAAACCAACTAAATAGCTCACTAATTAAATGGGTTGCGTTCTAGCAACAAGAACACCCAAAGCTGCAGATGAAATGAAAAGTATGCCTTGAAATTTGTAAAGAAACACAACACTCTGAATACCCTCACCATGCTAATAGGTACAATAGTCAACAATAATTAAATAATAAATAAAGTGTGCATTGACTACGGACGGCAGTCGCAAGGACTATTATATTCGCACTCCGTTCTTCGAGTCTATTACATAATAATGGATGACAACGGCAAGTAATAATGTAATTGTAATTATGTGACAGTCAAAGAAAGCGTGTCCCTATACTATATGTCCTTATGTGTGTGTGTGTCAGAGACACGCATCCTTAACGATAAAGCAATCAATCACTCAATCAGCCCGTCTGCATTTCCTGCCGAGTGCATTTCCTTCCGCCAACCTGTGTGCTCATGCAGAAACCCTGTTGCAAGCGACAGCAGAGAGAAGCAGCCAGAGAGAAAGAGAGAGAAGCCTGTTATACTGGAATTTAAGTTAGTTTGCCATTTTTGCAGATGACAACACTTGTCTGAGAACTAACTTAAATGACATTAGTTTACTTATTATCTCTCTATTTTTGTTCCAACTTCTTTTTGTGAAAGTCTTAAAATCCCTCTATCAATTTATTTCAGCAATCAGAGCAGCAATATTTATACAGAAATGGTATCGCCGACATCAGGCACGACAGGAAATGCGAAAGCGTTGCAATTGGCAAATATTTCAAAACGTGGAGTACGCCTGCGAGCAGGACCAGGCCGAGGTAAGAGCTGGCCAACAATATGTATGTAAATTAAGTCTGAAAACTTGGCTTTCAATCGAATTATACATTAAAAATTCAATTGCTTTTCACAAAGCAAAAGCTGGTCTAATAAACCTGGCTAATCTTTGAGCAAGGGGAGTGGGTTCGAACCCTTAACCGAACCTCCGACAATTTTGATTTCTTTTGGGTTTGCAGCCCTTCAAATACTCTGCACAAAAGCTTGGTCAAAAGAGAATTGGCTGCGTTTATGTGCATTTGTTATGATTCGAAAGTCGATAACATGCGACAAACGAGCGAAAGAAAACACACGCCTAAATATGTATATAAAATAATATATATTTACGTGTGTAGAACAGATGTTCCGAAAATTAATATTGCCAGGTTTACTGATTATTTTATTTTATTCTATTTATAGCTATACAAATTCTTCAATGACCTTATCAAACACATGCCCCAGGCCATTGAGGCTGGCAATAAAGGTCAGACCTCGAAACAAAGTAGGTCCAACAACTTGTCTAGCATATTCTTTTCTTGGTTATTCTAAGTATGTATTTATTTCCAACTAGGCATTGGTCCGGAAAAGAGTGCCACATTATATGAGGAAACTGGCGAAATGGCGCGTATACAGCTCGAATTACCCATACAGAAAAAGCACATAGATCTCATGATTGATGTATTCCGCAAGAAAAGGGTATGATATTGGCAAACTCTTTGGCTTTGATCAACAAATGAGAAATGTGTGTGTTGTAGGGCAACCGTCTGCATCCAAAATATGTGTGTATGATATTGCGCGAAGCTGCAAAATGCCTTAAACAGATGCCAAACCTGTGGATGGTGTCGACGGCAGTCTCCCAACAGGTGACCATATGTGGGGATCTGCATGGCAAACTGGACGACCTGTTGGTGGTGCTCTACAAGGTATTTAGTCAAATAGACAATACTACTCAATTTGCGTTTAAATGCTTGAAATGATATTTTAGAACGGACTGCCTTCCGCTAGCAATCCTTATGTCTTCAATGGCGACTTTGTGGATAGGGGCAAGCGAGGGCTGGAGGTGCTGCTGCTCCTGTTGTCCCTCTATTTGGCATTTCCAAATGCTGTGTTCTTGAATCGCGGCAACCACGAAGATAGCGTAATGAACGCTCGCTACGGCTTCATTCGCGAAGTAGAGGGAAAGTATCCCGTAAGCATATCCATCCACTCTTTCAACTGAGATCCCTAATTATTACGTTGAACTCCTTCAGCGTAATCACAAACGTTTGCTCTCGTTAATTGACGAGGTTTATCGTTGGCTTCCACTAGGATCTATTTTAAACAACCGCGTCTTAATTGTGCACGGTGGTTTCTCGGATACTACGAACCTGGACCTAATTAAAAGCATTGACAGAGGAAAGGTAGATGCACAGCTAACTGTAATCAATCAGTTATATATAATAATTCAATTCAAACTACTTTTCATTGCAGTATGTATCAATTCTGCGGCCACCTCTAATGGATGGCGAGGCTCTGGAGAAGGCGGAGTGGCAACAGGTGCAGCGAAACCCACGAAATCGAATTTCAATTCCCAAAATTGACTCTTCATTTTGTTTTTACAGATTTTTGATATCATGTGGAGCGATCCGCAGGCCTCGCAAGGCTGCAAGCCAAACGCGTTGCGAGGCGCCGGTGTTTGGTTCGGCCCAGACACAACGGAATTATTTTTGAAACGCCATCGACTTAGCTACGTAATCCGCTCGCATGAGTGCAAGCCAAATGGACACGAGTTTATGCATGACAACAAGGTATATATACAGATCATTTAGTCTTAAAAGTATCTACCCATATTATCGGTGGTATGTTCTCCTTGCAGGTCATCACCATATTCTCGGCCTCGAACTACTATGCCATGGGCTCCAACAAAGGCGCCTATATGCGCCTGAATAATCAACTGGTGCCGCACTTTGTCCAGTACATTTCGGCGGCCTCGCAGACCAAGGAGCTCTCCTTCAAGCAACGCATGGGCATTGTGGAGTGTGCGGCATTGAAGGAACTAGCCGTGCGGATGCGTGAACATCGTGATGAGCTGGAGACGGAGTTTAAGAAGTACGATCCCGATGATTCTGGCTGCATAACCATATCAAAATGGTGCTTTGTAATGGAAAATGTGACCAAGTTGGGCCTACCCTGGCGACTGCTACGCGATAAACTGGCCCCGGGCACGGATAGCCAATGTGTGAACTATGTTCGAACATTAGACCTCCTGGACACGGATGTTATTGTATGTTATGCTCAAAGATGTTTTAATCAGATTAATGCACCATTTATGTATTCAGATGGAAGCTGAGGCCGATGGTACATCAGTAATGGACGCTTTATATGCCAATAAAGCGAGCTTGGAAACCATATTCAATATTATCGATGCTGATCATTCAGGTGCATTATACGGTGTGCCTGTTAGCTGTACATAACTCGTTTAATTTGTTATTCGTTAACTGCAGGGGAAATAACTCTGGATGAATTCGAGAAGGCAATTGATCTGCTCGTCGCTCATATGCCTGGCGTTTACTCAAAGGATGAAATGTTGGAAAAATGCCGTATGATGGATCTCAATGGTGACGGTAAGGTAGATCTAAATGAGTTCTTGGAGGCGTTTAGACTAAGCGATTTGAGTAGAAAAGAACAGCAAGAAGAATATCTACGCAAGCGTTCGACATGTCAGCGTCCCTCAGAGTCAGTTACTCGGCTGGCAGATACAATATCAAGAAATACTCTGGTAGTTGAGCACGATATTGATCCGACTGACTGTGAGTCAAAAGTGGTTGGCCAAAAGTCATAAATATTACCCTAAAATAGTACAATTAATGCAATTATTTTTCAAAATCATAAGCGGTCAGCCCTAACATAATGCCGCTAAAATATTATTAATAATTAAGAAGTTATAAAGAAAATAATATATCATATGCAGCTTATGCCCCTTTAAGCCTTTTGTAGCTTCTCTTAAAATCTTTCGCTAAGCTATCAAAAAGTTCAGAACAAGCTGTGCTTATGTTGTTTATCTTCTGGAGTTTCTTGCACAAATGTGAAACTTTAATTTGAAATTCTGAAAGTACGGGGTGTACGTGCGAAAAGAAGGGCATATAGAAAAAAATTGAAGATCGAAGTACTATCGGCGATTGGCTGATGAACAGGCAACTTATTATGTATCCATTAAAATAATATATATATCTAGCTCTATAAGCTCTATGATCTATGCTAACTAATATTTCCAATGAAAAGGAACAAAAAGGCAAGCTAAAAGATGGCCATTAGGCCAAATCATTCCCAGCCAATTTCTTTCTAAACTGCATTCAATTACGTTTAGCAATAGGAATAATAATGGAATAGCATTATCTGATTACAACTTATCATAAAAGTGAATGGATTGTAGGAGTTGATTTTAACTAAAATAATTTATTTTTTGTTAATTACCCGAAGTACAAAAGATAAATGAAATCTCAGATGAAATCTCGAATGTATAATTCATAGAAAAATTGTTATTAATATTCACGTTTTACTACATACAAATATCGAATTGTCTTCACACATAGTTCGAGCCATGGGATCAAAAGCTAACATTTAAATTGTTTTGAAAAGCTTACCAATTACAATAGTAAATAAATTGTAATACATATATGCCCCGTTGGGCAATGTTATAGATTTGCAAGAAATATATTTATGTTAGATGCAAAATACATATATCTTTTGATAAGTCGAAGTCTTTCTACATTAGTAAATTAACACATACCACATCAATTAATGCTAAGCGAATTTATATATACATATATATTCTTGTAACAATTATCTGCACTTAATGCTATCAAAAGAATATTATTGAATTCGGAATTTTAAATAACCGAGATGAGCACATGAGTAATAACCAAAACAATTGTAGCTACTATCTATAATCAAACATAACGATCTGGTCCAAGTAAATTTAAATGAGTTTCGTCTCACAAGCAAATGTCATGTTAATAAATTAATATTTTGCTTTCGCAATTATAATCTAGTTTTTTTTTAACGTAATTTTTCAAACTTACAGTGCGTACTATAGCAAGCAGCTTTTGTCTTACGTATTTACAATTCGTCAAGAAACGACTTTCGTTCAATGTATAACAAAAAATGTTAGTTTACATTAAGAATAGTCTAATAACATTTTTGAAACGCCAAATTGATTCTGTTAACGCACTTGGAGTTAACAGAATCAATTTCTCAACTTTGCGTCACGCGGAATAGGCGCCTAACGCAAAACTGAGACGTTAAGAGTGACCATATGCGGTAAATATTGAAAGGCTTCTGATTTGAAAATTCGTTGTTACTTTATTTCGTATTGCTATATTTATTTTGTTTGTTTATATGATGTGAAAGGTAAAATAATTTGATTGAAAACTATATTGAAAGGTCGACAACAAGGTGTAACATATAATATAAGAAACCAGTTCATAAAATGTTTAACTCAAACCTAATCCACTTAAAATAACGGTAAGCTAGCATGTATAGTACCCAATGTCAAGGTACAAGGACACGAAACGCACGTCAAGTTCATGTTTCCTTATTGGAATCCACAAGTTTGCCGTAATTGAGGATAAGGACGAGGCACTTGTTGAACAAATGCAACAAGTTTGGCAGCTTGGCAACGGTTGGTAAACAATAAATTGAGCTCAAGTTCAGCTGTTGCATTGGCAACGCTCAATTCTATGGAATGTTTAATCGATGACCACTCGAAGGATAAAAACAGACAGGAAACAAGAGCACATCGCACACAAAACAGCCAAGTTCTAGAATAAACAGTACAACTTTGCAATGGCGCGCTATAAAAACTAGAAAAACCGAAGAGTTACGGTGATTTTTCATCGGATTCCTAATCAACTGACAAGGACTTGGTCCGCAGCATGGGAAACACGGAAAGCAATGTAACGAGTGGCGTCAAGAAACAGGCAGGAGTCTCCACCCAGGCCCTCTACAAATTCGTCAATCTCAAGGGCGGCGGCCTTCTGGTGGACATGATGAAGCGCGCTTGTCAAACCAAACAGTTTGCCGAGATCGATCATGCGATCAAAACGAAAGTGGAACCATTTTTATATAACAAGGGCGCTGGCCGTTATTTTCCCATATCGAAGCTGGTGCTGCTGCGAAATCGGGACAGGCCACGGACCAGGCAATTGCCCGAAATACGGGCTCTCGAGAATCCCGACGATGATTTCAATATACACGACTATTGTCCGGAGGTATCCGAGGCGGAATACATATCGAATCCCAGTGCCTATCGTTTTGTGTGCTGGGATCTGAACGTGAGTTCCAGATAAGATAAGCCTGTCCAGCTGGAGTCACAATAACGAAATCTCATTTCTAGATGCGCGGCGCTGTTGGTGAAACGATTCTTCATCTCTGCCTGCTGAATGCCTCCTCGCTGCATGCTGATCTGGCGAAACGTCTCCTGAAGTTCTACCCGAAGCTCATTTTGGACATCTATATGAGCGATGAGTACTACGGCGAGAGTGTGCTGCACATTGCCATTGTCAACGAGGATCCGGCCATGGTCAAATACTTGCTAGACGCCAATGCCGACGTTCAGGAGCGGTGAGTAGTAAATGCCCCTTTCATATGCTCCTCCTTTTTTCACAATTCCCTCAACTCAGCTGCTGCGGCGCTTTTATGTCCGCGGAGGACACGAAGGCCTCACGCACGGATTCGCCGGATCACGAGTACGTGGCGCTGGCGCCCATGACCAACTATGATGGTTACGTATACTGGGGCGAGTATCCTTTAAGTTTTGCCGCCTGCTTGTCACAGGTAATAAGAGCATGTACATCCGATATATACAGCTATTCAGAATCTACTATCGTTCATCCGTACAGGAGGAGTGCTTCAGACTGGTGCTGGCGCGCGGCGCAGATCCGGACTTTCAGGATACCAATGGCAATACGGTGCTGCACATGCTGGTCATTTACGAGAAGATCGAAATGTTCGATGTGGGCTATGAGGTGGGCTCGAACATACACGTGCGCAATATACAAAATCTAACGCCCTTGACGCTGGCTGCCAAGCTGGGGCGAGTCGAGATGTTCTTCCATGTGATGAGCATTGAGCGTGAGATATATTGGCAGCTGGGCAGCATCACCTGTGCCGCGTACCCCTTGCTCATGATCGACACCATTAACGAGGAGACGGGCAACATCAACAAGGATTCCGTGTTGAATTTTGTGGTATTCGGTGACAAGCTGGAGCACTTGGAGCTGCTCGATGGCGTGGTCATTGATCTGCTAAAGACCAAATGGGACACCTTCTGCAAATCGCGTTTCTACAAGCAGTTTTACATGTTTGCCTTTTACTTTCTCATATCGCTGTTCAGCTTCATCTTGCGTCCGGGTCCAGATTCCAAGGAGGACGAGGATGACGAGCCGGAGGGCACAGCTGTTACGCCTTCCAATGGCAGCGCATCTCACGATCTGTACACCAACGGCAGTCTGGGCCAGCATACCAAACGTGGCACATCCAGTACCGAATACAGTCCGTTTGTTGAATCCAATCAAAAAGAACATGAAATCATTTTCGATGTCCACACAGAAACCTTTTGGCTAAACTTTACGGAATATTATGATCCCAGCGAGGTCGAGACCCTGCCCGCCTGGTGGCAAACCTATGCCCAGTGTCCGCTCATGAATCTGGAATCGGATCTGGCCAAGCTGCGCATCATAGCCGAGCTTATTAACTTCGTGGGCGCCATACTCTACCTGCTTGTCGCTCTGAGGGAGGCGCGCTTCCTGGGCTACAAAATGTTCATTGAGAATCTGGTCAGCTTAACTATTTAACTTAGTCTTTGAGTGTAAATAATTTTACGTTTCTTCTCTCAGATGACTGCTCCGTCGCGCGTCATGTTCCTGTTCTCCTGCGCCCTCATGATGACCATACCCTGGCTGAGGGTCTCCTGTCTTACGGAAATCGATGACCATGTGACCGTTATGATAATGTTGACCACGGCGCCGTATTTTCTCTTCTTTTGTCGGTGCGTAGCATTTACATACATTATTTTGTTGCTATTCCATTTTTAAGCTTTTCAGAGGCTTCAAGACAGTGGGACCCTTCGTTGTGATGATCTATCGCATGGTAATGGGAGACTTGCTGCGATTCGTTTCCATCTATTTGGTGTTTGTGTTGGGCTTCTCGCAGGCCTTTTACATCATATTTCTGACCTTTGACAATCCGTCAACGCCCGAGGATCAGGACGCCGAATCGAATCCAATGCCCTCGCCCATGGAATCCATTGTGGCCATGTTTCTGATGTCGTTGACCAATTTCGGCGACTATTATAGCGCCATGGTGTCCACACAGCACGAGTACGAGGCCAAGATATTGTTCTTTCTATTTATGGTGATTGTCAGTGTTCTGCTGGTTAACATGTTGATTGCCATGATGGGCAACACCTACCAGAAGATAGCCGAGATACGCAACGAGTGGCAGCGCCAATGGGCGCGCATTGTGCTCGTCGTGGAGCGCAGTGTACCGCCAGGTGAGCGCTTGAAGAACTTTATGCAGTACAGCCAGTCCATGTCCGATGGCAGGCGCGCCCTGGTCCTGCGCCTGAACATGACTGTAAGTAGGCATTTATGACTAGCAACTAGTTGAGTAGCTAAATTCTTCTATTTGCTTGCAGGACGAGGAGAAGGAGGAAATGAAGGAGGTGCAGGAGATGAAGCGCATCCACCAACGTTTCTCCAAAAAGCGCCAAATGGAGCGGGAGGCGCGTGCCCGTCGTCGCCAGCAGGAGTACGAGAAATTCTTTGGCACCGCCCCGAAGACGGACAGCACAGAGCAGCATAATCTGTGAGTCAGTCATGTCCTGACAATGTCCTGACAATGAACTAGTTCAAGTTTTATTGAACTGAGCGCTTCGCGCTTTGCTTATTTTTCCTTTTCATTTTCTTCTTGATTTTTACACCCTGTACCCATTGATAATAGGGGTATGATGGTTTTCTGCAGAGGTATGTAACAGGCAAATTTATTATTCATCTAGGATCTCGTCAATATTTTTGGATAGCCAAGTCCGTCTGTCTTTTTGTCCGCCGGTCTGTCTATTTGTCCGCTCGTCTGTCTGTTTGTCCGCCCCTCTGGTTGAACTCGTCGGTCTCAGAGACTCTACTCTGCTTCCACGAAATCGTCTGCGTTTGAAGAGCTGATGTCTTATGGACTGAACTAAAAACATGGCTGTTATTCAAAAATGAAATTCCCTCAGAGATTAGAAGAAGAATATGTATATAGAAGAAAGCTGGAGCATTTGTAACCGCAGTTGGGCTCAGGGTATCTCCAAGTCGGGCATTGCCGACTAGAGCACTCTTTACTTTTTGTGTTCTGTTGAGAATCCTGTTAAGATTTGTTCGTATTGTGCAATAAATGTTTAGTCTATGAGCCGTTCCAACCACCACACTATATCGCTAATTTATATAAGTATCATAAAACTCGGCTTTACGACAGGGCAAACAAACTAGCGACGCGTCGTCTTGTAGAGGGTGCCAATAATGTGCCATTTGAATGATAATAACAATTTTATTATGGACGTCTGGCCAATAAATCCATTGAGAGACTCTCAATGCGGGGGCGAGCATATGCTACATCCTCGGCTACATCCGTTTATCGATTGCACAAAGAAACAGACAAGAGTCCTGTCAGGCTCGTATCTGCTGCATCTTGATTACGTAATTGCAACTGTAGCAACAGATTTGGCCCGGCCCGATGCCCATGACACCTTTCATTGTGCTCTCCTCGGCGAGGGTGCAAGTGCAGCCAAACAATGGGCATTAGAGAAAGATGTGTCTAGATCGATATCAAGATCAGCGATCGATACTGTTGATGCGTGGGATCCTTTTGCCAGACAAGCCCAACACACCGGAAACGTTTAGAGTCCTTATTGTTGTGCAAAAGAATGGAATTATGCTCGAATGCTGTCGAATGTTGCAGCTATTGAAAGTGTTAAAAAACAGCGATCTACCTCGCGAGTCTAGAATCCCTGGCTGCTCAGCTTTCCCAGCTTGACTTTAATTGCGTCTGAATAGAGCAATTTGGGACATGCTGTGCCAGCGCGATACAAACAATCTTTTAATACACTTGAAAAAAAATCACATCAAATTGTGAAAATCGTATCAACAGAATACATTTAAACAGTGATTGGGTGTAAATAGTGTAACAGCAAAAGAAATCATCGCTGATTCCAGCATATATATTCTTGATCAGGCCGGGGAGCTGAGCCGAGCTAAGTAGCTACATATAGTATGTGCTGTGTCTGTCCGCCTGAAATTTAAAATATAAATACTCTTATACTTGGTATAGTAGAGAGTTTATAAAAAATTTTAAGAGCAAGATACACCAAACTTGGTATGTAACCTCCCATAAAGTACATACATACATATGTATGCTGTATTAATATTATATTTAACAAAGATCGGACTATGAAATCCGATCAAGTAGTGTTGGGCTAAGGTTGACGCTAGGTAGAGGGTATATGCTAGTCGGGCACTCTTCACTCCTAATTGTTACACCTTAAGCAAGAACTGGCAATTAGCAATTAGATCGAATTTTATTCCCTCTAATCTAGCTGAAAATTAATCTCAGTGTAACTGTTTTGGTCAGCTCGTTGAAAGGTTCCCAGCTACAACCCTTGCGCTGCGGTTGCACAATGGGCACCACAGAGCGGCGAGCGGCGATAATGATATGGTGGCAACCCTTGCCGATCATAACAAAGGCTTAGCCATAATTTGAATATGTCACACCAAAATTCCCAGATCTGGATTGGCTTTAGCCTCTTCTCTTATTGTTAGGCGTTTGATTCTCGTCACTCTCTTTCTCTGTTTCTCTCTGGGTCTTTCACTGCGTAATTATAGAGTCGAGGCGACTCCCGGCGAGGTGTCGAATTCGTTGCAAGCGACAATTTAATCACATGTTTTGCCAGGACCTTTGTTGGGCCTCTTCATTGTGCTTGCTAATGGGGCAGCTGGCAATGGGCTTCGAATTTACTTTACGTTGGGTGCACACAACGCCCACTTCCTTTTGTATTTTATGATATTTATTTTTTTTTTCGCTAGGCTCTTGCCTGACCTCCCCAGAGCATTTTCCAGTCCAAGCATAGCCGTGCGAGTTTTGGCATGATCATAAACTTGGCCGTAAAGATCTCTAACTCGGCTTGTTAATTTTCCAGTCGTAAAATCGTGACTCGGGTAAAAACTCAAGTTCGTACGGGTCGAGAAAGTTGGCAAAATTGTTTAATTACTCCGCACACAAACATTGTAAAACAATAAATGCCGCATGAGGAACGTCGTCATGTTCCCGGAAAAATATCCTGTTTTATGAGCTCCGTTTAGCGGCTTTCGAGGGGCGTTGCAAATGACTTTTAAATGCGGCCGTCTTGGCCCGATGATTGCTTTTTTTCTGTACGCATATTTATTTATTTTTACTTTCTTGTACCTTTTTTCTTAAACTAACTATCGCAATTGTTTGGGTTTGTTCTTTTCCTACCGCGGCGCACACTTGACAAATCTTTAGAGTACAGCCAGCCGAACCCCAAAGGGAAAGTCCTTTGGGACCTTTGCCTGGCTAAAGAAAAATGCAAAAAGTATTCAAATCAATGGGTCCATTTAAATAAGAATTATGGCGCTGAGTCCCAGGTGAACTGCCACTAGACCTGCCTCGCCCCGCCCCCCTGCACCTGCCCCCCGACCCTGGCACAGAGCGCGCCTGCCTTTTTAATCTTTGCTTAAAATGTAAAGTTTGAAGCGTTCTTTGAGTTTATTTAAAGTAAATTATTTATGCAAATAAAACCAAACCAGAAAAAAGCTAGCAATTTATTTTGACAGCCAGGCGGGGGTGTGGGCATGTGTGTGGGTTGAGAAATTGCAAGGGTTGCTTCGCGATGAATCAGAGTTCGATTTGCTTGACCCTCGTGAACTTTGTTTGCACTTTGGCTCTAACTTGGCATATGTGATGCTGTATTTAACACTGATTTAGCTCTGTTGTGAGCATTTTTCAACATTTTTTACACTTTCTATTCAACCCGTTTTCGAGTATCTGACACTGTTAGGAATTGTCAGTTGCATGCGCACTTGTGGAACAGTTTTCAAATCATTCAATAACTCATTCATACTTGGTTGGACTATTGGGTGTGGCAGATAGTGTATTAAGCTCTAATGAAATGAAAAGCTTAAAATACATTCGATACATATTTTAAACCATTTTGAAACCAAGGCTCGAACTCAAGCCTTGCTTTACGAACCTCAAGGCGAGGCATTGATTCGAACTATGAATCGAATCATCCAAAAATTCCTGCTAGATTTGCAGGGCCTTGACTTTGCTACTGTTTCGTTTCATAGCTTTTCATTCAGACACAATTTATACATTTATTTTGCGCTTTACTGCCGAATTCACCTGCCATCTTGGCCCTCTCGTTTCCGTCTCCACCCCGCCACCTGCTGGCAGTTCGAATACGCCTCGCTTTGATTGGGAACCACTTGATGTTTATTTGCGGGGGTGCTAACAAAAAACCGCAAAGTTTTAATTGAATTTCCTGAACAAAATAATGTTTTGCCACTTGAGTCTCGCGGGAGAAGCTAAACAAACACAACCAACAACGCAACAGACTGACTGACAGACAGACTGACTGACTGGCTGGCTGACTGATTGACTGACTGACAGGCGCATAGATTGAAAGGCGATACAAGGTACGAGGTATGCATACATACTTAAGAGCCAAATGAAATAAATTCAATTCGCAAAATCAAATCACTTGAGTGAAAATACGCAACACAATCAAAAGTTGCATTAAAAATTCAAACCAAAGAAAACACAAACAAATGGAGCTTGGCGAGTGGGCGAGTGGATTGGTTGGTAAAGAATGGAATGGAAAGGTATTCGCCGAGAGGCGTCGAAGCGGTTTTCCCATTGCCACAATTTTACTTTGATCTTTGATAGCATTAAGCACGCGCAATAAAACTCTTTGACTTTCGAATGCATCGAACCCATTTGCCAAATGACTGAAATTAATTACAAGAAGCCGCAGCAACGCGGGCAAACGATGACAGCCAACGGGTATGCTCGACTGTGAGAATGAACAAAAGCTCACCTCAGCTTTTATACTTTTGAGAGCGGCTCTTTGAGTATCGCAATTGCTTGTCCAGCAAATATTCACTTTAGTAAGCACATACGACCCAATGTCTCGCTAGTACAGGGTATAATTATAGAAATATCAAAGCGTTTCTGGCCAGGCTGTCAACACTTTTGGTTAGAACTTGTGGCTCTGGGGTTGGGCAGCTGTCGCTGACAGGCCTCACCGCGTGTCACGGGCCGGGCCTGGACCTCATTTGCCTGTTGGTAACGCCTCCGCACGCCTACCCAAACACAACATTGACGATGTTGATGCTGATGTTGATGATGCCCCGAGGCTACCGCAAAATTTTGACACTTTTTGGGCAGCTAATTCCCTGGATTTGTGGGCTCGCATTCGTTCCAACTGTGCTTGTTGGTCGTAAACACACACCGTGGGATTCGGTTACGGCGATGACGTTCTCGAAGAAATCGCGCGACTGAACTGCACTTCAAAAGTCGCTTTGAGTGGGCTCTTCGGGCGGCGACGTTTTGCGGGTCGAGCGACAACAATAATTAGACCTAAGCACTTGAAGAGGGGCCGGCAAAAATGCCAACCCCTAAGAATGACCCCCAAAGCATTAATAGCCGCGTCTTTCTCTCGCTCTCTCTCCCTAAATAAATATATATATATGCAAAAAATATATAAAGAAATATGCTCAAGTATTAAACGAAAAGCAGCTCTTAAGTGGCCCGTTTCGATTACATGCCAAACTTAAGATGAATTCCGGCTTATGAAGTGCTTCTGCTGCGGTTCCGCCAAGGTTCGTCATTTGCCTGCAACCCTTTTTTTTTCGTCCTGATTGAGAAATTAACGTCGTTTAGTCAAGTGCCTGACTTGGTACTGGGCCTGGGCTTGGGCTTGGGCTTGGGTTTGGGTCGGCCAGGTGAACAATGCCTCGGGGCTAGAGACTTTTGCATATCCTGAACATTTCTTAGTTAATCTGTTATGACATCTAGTAGAGTTATGTAGGTAGGTATTTGAGAGTGGAGGGGGGAGTAGGGTGGGAGGGGGGAGTAACCAGTCTGCCGCTGGGCACCTAATGAGCTCAAATCGAGCATGCCTTATGAGTGCCATCGATATCCTACGCTCTGACAGCTCCTCAATTGCATTTGCATTGGCATTGGCATTTTCCCAGCCATTCCCATTAGAGGCGAGACATTCTCACAGATTCTCACACTTAGCAGAAACTGGAGGAGACTGACTTTCAGGGCGTTAAATGTGGGCTTACACATGTTTCGGCCAACATTTATTATCCTTTGCACAAATACCGCA